TTAAATACATTTACTGAATAGAAAAACTTTTTTTTATTTTTCATCACTTTTCATACAATAGTGGGTCAATTATTCTGGAATGGCAAGCCCATCCCAGATTGCTGCCAGTGTGATGAGAAACAGATTCTCTTGAATAACCAATGAGAGAAATGGTTATTATGGTATTTCACAATAAGATAATGCCTGTTTGTATCCTCGATACTCCTGGGGTTACGATCACTTTCGCATTCTGAAGAGATCTTTAGAGATCGTAACCCATGGAATATAAAGAGAAGCTATTTGGTTTCCGAAACGAAAAATAAAGCATATTGCAATCACTGAGAACCGTTGTGACCGGAGCGCCACATAATTTATTTTTTTCTTGTGCATCTTGCTTCGCAGTGGGCAAATTTTGGACATATACTTTTGTAGATGCAGCAATATCACGTGTTATGTGGCTCACTTGAGTCTTGTCGCCAAGTAGTGGACTACATTTTGTACTTACTAGACCGATTTACACAACTCGTTTTGCAGAAGAAAGTCCGCCACTACGCATGCGTAACTTTGTCAATAATGTTAACAGGGGAACCGAAAGCAGGATAACTCCGGATTGTAATTAACCTTAATTATAAGGTTGTTAAATGAAGTCTGGCGTTAACAGTCCGGTGAGTCGTTTAAGTTGTTCATCTGAATAGAGAATTAATTCCTTGTTAACCGCATCGCCTGAGATCTTGTGACACAATCGAAAACTTGTTCAGTACTCAGTAGTTCCGCATCTAAGTACAATAAAAGCTAGTATTGGTACAGTATATATGGTCTACCTCAGTACAATATGGTACCTTTCGCAATTAGTCTTCCACGATGCACATCTTAAAACAAAACTGATTAATTATGTAGGTTCATTTTTTTTTCAAATTTCAGAATTTTATTACTGAATTCAGTCGTATACATGTGTAGATGACAGCCTCTCAAGAGTTATCGTTCTTGGCGTTTTGCAGCTCCAATGTTACTATGTAAAGCTATTAGTAATGCCGTAAAGATATGAGTAGAATTACAATTAGATGTGGGTGTGTCTAGTATTTTAGACATCAGTATCACCACATACAGTTGCTGTCTTATCTATACAATTACTTGACCAATTAAATACAATTTATATTTAGCCTGAAAACAGGTGTAGCACTTCAGTTCATTCTTACTGAAAATTACTATGTTTTGACTTTAACGGAAACCATGAGGAAAATTGCAGAAACGAAACGATATGCCATGTTGATTGAGCTTCATCCCATTATTAGCTCACCAGTCCAAGGGCTTAAGTTTATGTTAAGTACGTATGCCATGATGCGGCATTTGTCATCCATCATCCAACTTTTTCTCAATAACCAAAATGCTGAGGGTGCTGATATTAAGATTATACCAAGTTGCTCAAATGAACGACCTTGACCTACTTTAAAGGTCACAGGATTCCAATATGTTTAAACTGTAATTAAACAACTTCTGCTCAATAAGCAAGATGCCAAGGGTATTGAATGAGCAGTCTGCTTTTTGACTTAACATTTAATTGGTATCTCAATATTTCATCTAGGCTCTGCATTATATGAGTTTGAAACTTCACATTTAGGTTTCTCTGGACTGTAGATATGTGGTTTACATTTTCAGAGTGTTCAGATTGAAACGGCCACCAGACTTTCATTTCCAATTTTCAAAGTTGAATATTATTGTTGGTATTTTGTGAATCTTACTTAAATTTCTAACATAGGTTTTCCTGGATTTGATTTTAGGCCTGCTTAATTTTGAGACTATGATGACAGCCATCTTGGATGTTAGCAGAACCTTATTCAAAATTTGTATATAATATCTCTTATAAAGCACTGCAGGGATCTTTTTAGAATTTCATAAAAGATAATGTAAGTTTTCCTGGGTCCCTAATTGGTGATTGCATGTTTAAAGATAAAATTGATTAACCTAATTAACTTGGCCCTTTTCTTCTTATTTGTCTTAATCATTTAACTAAATGATGAATATAACACAGATCATTATACAGTCGAAGAGTAACATAAGATTGATGATTCTGCGGTCTGATAGTAACATAAAATGGATCATTATACAGTTGGATAGTCAAGTTTTGTAGAGTAATTAACATTAATCCCACAGAGATTTAACTTACATCCATGATAAAGTCTAAAGCACCCTCGATACTCCCGGGGTTACACTCACTTCATCCTCTATACTCTCTTGGGGTTACACTCACTAAATCCTCGATACTCTGGAGGTTACACTCACTACATTCTCAACTCTTCCTGGGTTACACTCACTAATCCACAACACTCCAGGGATTACATTCACTCTCACTCACTGATTCCCACCAGTATTAATTTTCATGGCAAAATTGAAGGTTCTATGTGTAACACCTTTTGGATAAGATAAGTAGATATTGTTATCCTTTGATGTACATCTCATGGTTGCTTAATCATTGAAATGTGAACTTTATTTATTTTACAATAATTGCAAAACAAGCTTTAAGCTTAATCGTTCTTGTTGGCCTGGATGGAAGTGCATTGGGGAAATTACTGTAGGAGAAAACCAGAATACCTGGGGTAAACCCACGTGGTTGAACTGGTGACCTCATACCTTTCAAAGTCCATGCCAGGAATTGAACTGCGGAAGCCTAAGTAAAAAGTGAGTGTGTTACCACTGCTTGTTGTAATGGATTTGAAGTTCGATGTCATTCCTTTGTAATCTTTGAGTCTGTGATTGGTCAGTCTCTGTCTCCAGAAACCTGATTTAGACTGATCAGACAACTTTGCTCGTGCCTTCAATTTTGCCATCAAATGTTCCAGTGGCGGAGAGAGTGATAGTGAGCTTAGTTTCTGGAGTATCAAGGATGAGTTTTGAAGACGATTTTCCCAAAATTTATCTTTTAAATCCTGATAACATGGAATATACTTATGGTTAAGTAATGTGAATTGAGGGTTCAAAATTTGATTTGACAAGGATTGTACATACATTTATTGACGAACTGCCTATATACTGAAATGCATGCTGTTTTCTCCTTGTTTTGCTTACATCAAGTTACAACGATAATATTACTATTAATGAGGCAACTGGTGTTTTTCTATTGATCATATACTGCAGATGCTGAATTAGCACTGAATTTCAAATTTAAATTCTTAATTTTGTTTTAGACTAGGATTTTTTCAATGACCCATTTCTTGGTCATTTGTAGCAATGATTCATCTGGGTTCATTCTCTTAACAAGCCTATGTTTAGTAATTAGCCCATGTGTGGTAATAAGCCATGTATGGTAATAAGTCAATGTCTAGTATTTAGTCTGTGTCTGGTAATAAGTCCATATTTGGTAATTAGCCCATATCTGGTAAAAAGCGTATGTCTAGTGATAAGCCCATGTCTGGTGATAAGCCCATGTCTGGTGATAAATCCATGTCTGGTGATTAGCTTATGTCTGGTGATAAGCCCATGTCTGTTGATAAGCCCATGTCTGGTAATAATCCCAAGTTTGGTAATAAGTCCTTATTTGGTAATTAGCCATTGTCTTGTAAAAAAATCATGTCTGTTAATTAGCCCATGTCTGATTGTAAGCTCACTCTGTACTAACAAATAATAATTTATTGTCCTGTATTTATATTTGCATGGCAATGCTGCTAAATGCCATCTCACATGAAATTGATCCAGACACACTTTTGTCTTTAAGCAATTTATTTCAAAAACAATTCAGATTGGTGCATCAAGAAGCTCAATTTAGTTATAGTTGTCAAAAAAATTCTCAGATAAGCCCCCTCACCTAGTGTAATCATTTACTATTAAAGTTTGTGAAAGTCTTATTTATGAACCACTTTTGGCTTCCTTTTTTTATATTGATAATTCTGCAAAATATTGTGCAAGAGGCTTATTTGTAAGGAAGTGCCTATTTGCAGATAAATATGTTGATATCCCATTTTCTCGTGACGAGCAACATGATTATTAGCAGCTTACACTGTATAGTGTTGTTATCATGGCTATGATTGTAGGATACAAGAAATTTAATGTGTGCAGAGAATAGGGAAGTAAGATGCCTACCTAAAATGCTATTCAAACTCTCAGGATGAAATGTAGATGGTATCCCTTTATAAACTTACTGTTTTTTGTTTGATACTACTTATCATTACCTATTCAGTGGATGAGTTTTATTTTTTTCTTATGGTCTAAAATAATAAAAAAATTTCCATTGTTCTTAATTTTTGTGATGAAATTCAACCTTTACATTTTCTAACAGACATGAGTCAGATCAAGTGAAACTCCAACGACTTCATTTAAATATCTATATGGCAAGACTATACTTAACTTTGTGCAGCTTGTATACTGCAGAAAGTAATTTGATACCTAGTTTAACTTGAGAACGTGATGTGGCTTGAGAAGTTATTTGCCTTATAAATGACATTGAAGTATCAGGTTGTGCATTCTTGTGTAAATGTTGTGGAAAAGAAAGGAAAGGAGCCTGATTTTAATGTTTTTCCTTCACTGTGAGATACACACCAGTTGTTCTATACAATGTAATATAAATCTTAGGTAAAAACAGACTTGTGTAAGACAGGATACAAATTAGGATAAAGTGAATAATATCCTTTAAAGGAAAATACCAGGAACAATTTCAATATTCAGAGTCCTGAAGTATTGTTTAACAAATTATTGGATGAGTGCACATGCTGCTGTGTTGTTTTTGTTAACAATACTTTATTAAATTGTCTAAGAAATTATTTAAACTTTAAATGAATGAACGACTAGTGAATACATAACACTGTCATGTGGCTGTGTAATGATACTGAACTGATACTAGATTTACAAACTATAGATGTCCAGAGGTAAATTGTTCATTTCGTAGATTATTTATTAAAATTTTTCAACTTCCTGGTATGACCACAATGTGCGGGTACAAATTCTTTAGTATAGATGGGTCAGTCATATAGATACATCATGTATTTTATTTCAAATCAGGAAATCTTTCCCAATTTTAGCATTCATGAGTAATGGCAGACAGTAGGAAGAAAAGACCGAAACAAGGTGAACCCTTTGAAGTTGTCAACAGAGACTTGAGGGCTCCTGAAGGACAACGTGAAGTCCAGACGACTGGTGTTGACGATGGATGCCTGAAGGCTCCTAATGGACAACATAAAGATGGGAAATCATCAACTTCACAGCATTTACAAACTGGTAAATTTGTTCAATGTTCGTACAAGAAAAAGGAAATTCATTGCATGGTATAAAAAAATGAATGAAACCTTGTAGTTTGACTCATTTATAGCAATATGTTTTTCTGTCACGGTGACTTATATTTTACATAGATTTCATATATGGAAGATTTTGTCTTTCCATCTTTAGATAAATTTTCTTGAAAATCAAAAATATTTTGTTTTAGTTTCCTTGTCATTTATAACGAAAGACCATAACCATCGATTGGTACATTCCATCCATTGAAATTAAGAGGTGTTGGCTAAGATTCCCAGGGTAGATAGGGATCTAAAAATCCTAGATGTTAAATTTTAATGTCTTTCTGAAAGTTAGGATTAAACCAGAAAAAAATGGACTGAAATATTTGTACTTTTTTCAGTGATCAATATTGGTGAGATTTCCAACCAGGTGTTCCAAAAATCTTCAAGCGTTGAAAATGTCCAGATGACCTTCAACTTTGACCATGCAGAAAATTTGGTATTTGGTGAGGGAGGCAGTATTATCAATGCTGGAGGTGTGTTGGAGATATTCAGTATTGTTATGATGTTATAGATGTCACTTTCTTGAAAAAAAAGGGAGTGTTTTGCTTTGTACCCAAAAATCATTTGTAAAACACTTTTAGAAATTCAATAAGATCCAGTTTTGACCATAGCTTATTTAAGATGGGATGTTGGGTTATTGGTTACAGTAAATGAAATAGCATATGTTGACATTTATTCAAAACTAAAATAAATTTGATTATGGTCAATACCAAACAAACAATAAACATTTTGCTGACAGCACATCTGAAACATTGGTTAACACTAAACACAGTATATTTTAAAAAAGAGCCTGATTTTTAGTAAATACATATTGCAGATGTTTTGCTATATTTAATGTTTGCTTTATTAAATGGGCATAACAATATGAGTTTTATAAGTAATTTGGATGTCAGATGGCCTGAATTAGTGATATGAAAACTTTAGTGTTGTTGATGGTTTAGAAATAAAATTCCTTTGATGTCGCAAAGAAGAAAAAAACTTCAATTTATTTAGTTTACAAAAACTTTAGCATATATACAGATATCTGTGTAGCTTTCAGTGTTTGGGCCTAGAATCATTAGTCATTTATGTTTCTCTTAATTTATAACATGGGTGAGATATCTTTATCAGTCATTTGTGCCTTTTGCTTTGTTTACAGATAGAAGAAATGTGGATATATCTAAGCAAATCTGCTTGATAGGTATGTTTGTATTAGAAATCAATATCTGTTATACATTTGTGGTTAGAGTTTCAAGTAGTTTGAATTTGAGGAAGTAAGAAGATCTGTCCCCAGTTGCTCAAATCTTTGTAAGAATTACCTGATAATCAGTGCTTAGCAAAATAAATTGATCAATGATAAAACTGTGCCACTGAAATAACAAGGACCAAGTAAAGCAAAATTGTACAAGGACCAGTAAAGCAAAATTGTACAAGGACCAGTAAAGCAAAATTGTACAAGGACCAGAAAAGCAAAATTGTACAAGGACCAGTAAAGCAAAATTGTAAATCACTACATTTTGGTTTTGCTTTCATATTAGACTGTAATTATTCCATAAGTATACTTACCTGTGGTTGTTTACTCCATAATTATGTTTACCTGTTGTTGTTTACTACATCAGTATGTTTACCTGTTGTTGTTTACTGCATTAGTATGTTTACCTGTGGTTGGTGGTTGTTAACTACATCAGTATACTTACCTGTTGTTGTTTACTCCATCAGTATACTTACCTGTTGTTGTTTATTCCATCAGTATACTTACCTATTGTTGTTTACTCCATCAGTATACTTACCTGTTGTTGTTTACTCCATCAGTATACTTACCTGTTGTTGTTTACTCCATCAGTATACTTACCTGTTGCTGTTTGCTCCATTAGTATGTTTACCTGTTGTTCTGAACTACATCAGTATGTTTACCTGTGTTATATTAACTACATCAGTACGTTTACCTGTGTTATATTAACTACCTCAGTATGTTTACATGTTGTTGTTTACTACAACAATAAGTTTACCTGTGTTATATTAACTACCTCAGTATGCTTATTTATTGTTGTTTACTACAACAATAAGTTTACCTGTGTTATATTAACTACCACAGCATGCTTATTTGTTGTTATTTTCTCCATCAGTATGCTTACCTGTTGTCGTTTATTTCTAGACCAAACAAAAGCTTGGATCGAGGATCAAAGAGCAAAGCATCCCTATGTACCAACAAAAGCCATCAGAGTTGCCAAAGAGAAAATTTTAAAGAACAAATTCTTGATTGTTCGAGGAAATTCTGGGGATGGCAAAACACGTTTAGCTGTAGAACTATTGCACTGGTTGATGGACAGACATGACATGGCTATCAGGCAAAGTCAGGAAACAAGTCATTCACTGAAAGAACCTGTTTCTCTCACAAACTTGATGACATGGGATACCACAGTAACACCAAATTCACGCTTAGCCATATTGTTTGATGATATGTTTGGCTATGGATGTGACGTTCAGAAAGAGATAGACTGGTGGAAAAAACGTGAAAGTTTTGTTCTACCTTGTTTACAGGGGGAAATGCATGAGAAAGGAAATTGTTTGATTATTACCATGAGAAATGACATTTATAATGAACACAGGTCTATTTTTGATAGACAGGGTTTATTTTCTCCAGACAAGATTATTGATCTGAGCTCTCCTGAATTTTTATTAGAGGATGAGAAAAGAAGTATTTTACAAATGTACACAACCACACTGAGAAACTTTCAACAGTTTTCTGAAGTGGAAATTGCTGAAATTTTAAGAACTTCCCCAGGGATTGGATTTCCTGAGTGCTGTAGGGTTTTTGCTTCTACTTCTGAATTGCACATAGAAAGGGTAAACTTTTTCAGACATCCATTAAAGTATATGAGAGACATAATCAAAGGAAAGTTTCATGAAGAGCAACAAAAAGCACTCCTATATCTTTTCCTGTCTCACGGACAAGCACCTGTTAGACAACTTGATGTTGAAAATGAAAACATTGATAAATTAACTGTAGAAAAAGTTTTCAGTATGTCAATGTCTGAAAAAAATCAGGTAAGCTTAAATGGTGATCTTAGTTCAAAACTGAGGTGTATTAAGAAAGGGTTAGAATCTTTGTGCGGTTCCTTTGTAAGGAAAGAGAAAGGTGTGTTTTATTTCTTTCATGATTCGATACATGATGCAGTAGCCATACTGTATGGAGAGCTAACACCACAGGGTTTCTTGAAGAATTGTAACTGTGAATATTTACGCTACATTGTGACACCAAAATGTAAGGAAACATCATGTAAGATCATTGTGGATGAAGACATTTATGAATTTGTTTATCAACGAATATTTGAAGAGCTGAAGTTGAGAGACTGTACAAAGTACAGTGTTATAGCCTCACTAATACCCTGGAATGATTCACAGTTTGTATCAGGATTTTTTGATTGGATCCATGAACAAGTTGATGTGCCAGAAGATTTCCGTTTTCGTCGGAAATTAGGAAACATAATGATTGAAGACTGTGAAAGTGTGTTTGATGAGGAAATGAATGAAGATGAAAGAGGCAGTTTCTTTGTTGTAGTGGCCAAAGTAAACTCTTACTGTTTATTGAAACAACTAATTGACAGAGGTCTTGCCTCAGCTCAACAACTGAAGGAAGCTTTAGACCAAGCACTTAGGTCAGGAAGTGAAGAATGTGTTTCTCTTTTGTTAGAAACTGGTGTGACCCCTGATTCCAGGTCTTGCTTCTCTGCAGTAGAAGGAGGCAAAATAACCCTGCTAAGCAGATTAGAACACTATGGAATTATTGCAACATCCAGGGCAAAAATATCAAGATCAGGTTATCTGTTAGAAGACGTTAATTTGCTTCACGAGGCCTGTCTGTTCCAGCATGATGAAATTGTTGATTACTTGCTGGAGAAATATCCATCTCTGATACACGAAGATGGCAGGCACAGTTACAGCAGTCTCCATTTCATTGCAAGGACAGGAAACACATCACTTTACAAGCAAGTGGAACCACTCATGTTGAAGGGTTTCACTGGACCAGAATGCCAATACATTGAATCTCTCCTAGATATTGAAGGTAAAACGTTGCTCCATGCTGCTTGTGCCTCTGGTAACTTGGGACTGTGTGAACACTTATGCGAAAAATATTCATCACTTTTGTCAAAGATGGACAAGTATGATCGTCATTGTCTGCATTTTGCTGCCATGTCTGGAAATTTGGAATGCTTCAAATATATAGCAGCATTGACCCTGAGGGGCAAGACACAGGGAGAATGTCAAAGTTTCCTGGTGGCACTGGTTGATGACAGATACCAGAGGACGGTGTTACACTGGGCAAGTGAGTCTGGCTGTAGAGATTTGTGTACTTACATATGTCACAAACACCCCTACTTGTTATCTCAGAGGGACAAAAATGGACTCCATAGTCTTCACTTTGCAGCTGTGGCGTCTGATTTACCCTGTTTTGAAGCATTAGCCAAATGTGTTCTGCAAGGTCAGACAGAAGGAGAGAGTCAACATTACATGGCGAATTTGATGACCAATGACTGGCGAACAGTCCTACACGTTGCTTGTCAGTCTGGTAATCAGGATCTGTCTAAATACCTCTGTATTACTTATCCATCCCTGCTGTCTCTGAGAGACAAAAATGGCCGCCACTGTCTACACTACACAACTGAGGCTGGTAATCTAGAATTTTACAAATATATAGAATCTTTGGTTCTTGCAGGTATGAGTCACTCGGAGCGTGAATTATTCATGGAGAATGTCACAAGTCTTTATAACGGTACAGTTTTACATAGAGCTTGCTGGTTTGGCAGCAAAGCTATTTGTATGTATTTGTGTGCACAGTACCCATCTCTTTTATCCATTAAAGATAAATTTGGCATGCACTGTATCCATTATACAGCTCTGTCATGGAATCTGGACTGCTACAAAGCTATTGAGGCTCGAGTCGTATGTGAAGAGTCGGCTAAAGGAAACCCAAACTACATGGAAAGCTTATTGACAGATCGTGGGGTGTCTGTCATAGATTTGGTCAAAGGAGACGTAGAGGACTACAAAAAAGACTTGCACGATTATGTGATGAGTGCAGCCAAGCTAGTCTCGTTGTCTAACCGCAGTAGGAGCTGTAGTCCATCTAGTATAAGAACAAGAAGAATCTCATCGCAATGCTCTTCGTAGATTCAAAGACACTTAAAATGAGTTTTTTGTCGTTGAAAAAAACTGTGATAGCTCAGTTGGTAGAGCATCAAAGTTTGCAACTTCAGTGAAGATTTGGGTTTAAGGTTTGATTCCTACTTGGGGCATTTTTTATACATTTTTAAATTCTTTATGAGCTCTTTTATGTATAAAGAGAGATATTGGACTGAATTTGTTTTATACTAGGTAGGCATATAGGTTAAAGGCTGAATCTTCTCCAGACATGCATGGAGTTAAAAGCTGAATTTTGTACATATACAGACAGAGAGTTAAAGAACTTTTTTTACAGTTGTACATTTTTTAAAATTATATAATATTATGTCGGGAATCAATTTTTGATGTACCAGTAATAGGGAATGTTGACTGCCATCAAAACAAACAGTATGTTAAAGATGTCTGTATATTGAGTGATGCTTCCAGTATGCATGGCAGAGGTCACTTTTGGGATGACTTGATATAAATCCCTTCAACGACATGATCACTTACAATCACAAAATTTTGTTTTATTTACAAGTTTGCTCAAAAGCGAGTTTTTACTCAGATATATGTTTGCCACTGTTTTGTGGTGTGTAGCCTATGATACGTTATTAACCTGCAACTAAATATTATGGTTGAAATAAGAGGTCAAAGTTCAAATTGTACCTCATCCATCGTCTGTCCATCCTTACACTATTGTTGTTAGCACTCTTTCCAGAGAAGCGCTGGATGGATCATTCTCAAATTTCATATGTGGGTTCCTCCTGGTCCCTAGTTATGTATTGTCTATTTTTATAACAGTTTAGAAAATTTGATTGAATAGTAGGCAGCCATCTTGTAATTTGAAAGTTTTAGATTGTTGTTGCTATTTCTGGAGAAGTACTATGCTGTGTAAAACTACTAGAAACAAATTGTAAATCCTGAGTAAACAGGAAGGAAACATCAATTTCTTCAAACCATTGTATCATAACTTTTTAAAACAAATTGTATAATTATAATGATGAATGAATGTGCTTATTTTTTTTATCAAAGAGCTGGTAATTATATAACATTACAACATTGGTGCCAAATTCATTACATTTAGTTAACAAGTCACGAACATACCACCAATTACTGTAGTTCAATTGTCAATGATTCTTACATCATCCAGAGATCACATATAATTTGTTTTTTTTTTATAATGATTACTGCTGCCTTTGAATATAAACCATCTCATAGTGGGTATTGTTCAATGTGACTGCCAAAAACATGATATTGTTTTGTTTACCCTCATCTCTCATCTTGTGTTAGTTCCTTATTGTATTAATGATATATTTTGTTTTACTTCTCTCATCTTGTGTTAGTTCCTTATTGTATTAATGATATTTTGTTTACCCTCATTTCTCCCTCGTCTCTCATCTTGTGTTAGTTCCTTATTGTATTAATGATATTATTTTGTTTACCCTCATTTCTCCCTCTTCTCTCATTCTGTGTTAGTTCCTAATTGTATTAATGATATTGTTTGCCTGCTTTGCGGCCCTTCTGACCCATCAAAGGAGTTGTCAATTTCCTGTTCTGAAGAAATGGCAGTGTCTGCAGATGTTGTTGGTTTTCTCAGCTTTTTACATTGTCACTTTTGATATCAGAAACTTATTTTTATGCTAAGAGCATTTTCAATGCTCATCAGCATGTTGCTGTCGCCCTTGGCCCTGAGTATCAGTACTTCGTTTTCATTGGTTCATAAATCGAAAGTTTACTCCTACTCCATCTGCCGGACATTACCGTAATCATTGGATTATCGCCCCTACAAGTTGCTGATGCTAGTCATTAAACGAAACAACCTTATCGACATTTTCTTCATTACTTGTTTATACTTATACACACACATATATATATGTCATGTTGATTTTATTCTTTTCAAATATATATATATATATATATGATAATGATATTGTTTTGTTATATATATATAAATACATAGCTTTGTTTTTCATTGGTGTGATTTAGTATTGAAGGATTATATGAATGTATGGTAAGAATGTATTAATAATGATCTGAATTAAAAGTTTAAACATATATGTGATTTTATACAAATAAACCTACTGGCAGCCATTACTAAGAAAGATCCATCAGGAGTGAAAGCATGTAAACGTCCTGATTGATATTGTTATGTTCAGTTTCAGTTACATGTTATTTTGTATGTATATTCTTCTACATCAACTGAAAAATTAACATAAATTTTTTTTTTGTCTATACTTAATTGCTTAAAAGGTAGCACAGTTGAAATGATCAAATTGGTTATAAGCGCTTGTCTAATGGAATGTCTAATTTTCACTTTCAAAATCATGCAAAGTTTCACAGCACAGCATTTGGTCTATATATGTTGCAATGATGTTTTGAAGTTAGAAACTGAAATAACCTTTTAACCATTAAAGCCGGAAAGATGGAATAAAATTATCTCTCTAAATTGGTAAATTGATTTTGACTGTTGGAATGAGAAAAATACTCTGTTTATGTTAAAATAGACGACAGGAAAATTCCTTGCTAAGGTTTTATTAAGATTTGTTATTCTTTGAATAAACAGGATGTTTGAATGTGTGATGGGATAATTGTGAGATTAGAACTGAACACATTTTTTATTAAAACTGAAAAAAAATCAGATCTTTAAAATCTCATATTGATATGTATCTCAGATGTGCAAAGTAGAAGAGTGTAATTTTAGAAATCATTCTCATTTCAAAGATAAAATATACTTCAGAACTTATCTTTAAAATCAATTTTTGACTATTTGTGAAACTTAAACGTATTGATTCCAATAAGATTTTTATGCCACCTGAGACGAAGATTTCAGGGACCTATTGTAAAAGCCATTGTGTGCATCATCTGTAAACAAATGGCATTTTGATATCTTCTCAAAAAACCCTGAACCATTTTTAATGAAATTTTGTAGAAACTTTTCCTGGCCAAATGTAATCCAAAATTCTGAATTGTATGGTTCACAACCAACCCTCCAGGGACCTGAGGGTTGGAGAAAATTTACTCAAGTTTTGAAACTTTTCTTCTCAACACCCAGATACAGTAGAATCAAATATTCTTCTTCATAGATGGAAGGGTCTGAAGATACTTTACCAAAATTGAATTTCATGCCCCCAGGATCTCACATTTTTCCTCCGAGGGATACCTTTTACTTTAGTATATATATAAAAGCTACATTCTTGAGCATAAATTCTTTTAATTCAGACTTTGTTCTAAACATCCTAAACATGGGATGGCAGTTGATGTTCTATAATATAGTTCAAATTAATTTATTTTTGTTAACAAGATAGGTGAATTCTATGGTTCATGTTTTTTATAGAATTCATAAAATGTCAAGTGAATTTTAAAACCTTTGTGCCTCTTGTTATATTTTAAATAAATGTTAAAGACTTGTTTTTCTTTTGAATTTTTTATTTGACAAATATATTCAGTAGTATAGAAACCAGTAACTTGTCTTCCATCTTCTGATAAAATGTGCAACTATGACCTTTATGTAGGAGTATTATGAGCTATGCCTGAAATGGCATTATGTTATATTCATTTATCACATGCATACCATGTTCTTCAGCGAATATATATGTGTGATACAAATAGCATCTAACATGAGTTTTTGTTTGATATCAGAAATTATGAAATGAGTCTTTAAGAATTTATTTGTATTTTTGCAAGTCTTAGGTTTCTACAGTATTTGCTAAATAATTGATCGTACGATAAAAGGAAATGAATTCATTTCCACTTCATTTGTTAGCCCACCATCTATTCAAATAGATGGTGGGTTATTCAAATCGCCCTGCGTCCGTGGTCCGTCCGTCCGTCCGTAAACAATTCTTGTCACCGCTATTTCTGGAAAAGTGCTGGATGGATCTTCCTCAAATTTCATATGCAGGTTCCCCTTAGTTGTGGTCCATAGTCAAGATGGCCGACAGGTGGCCATCTTGGATTTTGGATGTAAAAGTTTGTTACCTTTTTTGGAAAGTACTGGATGGATCTTTCTCAAATTTCATATGCAGGTTCCCCTTGGTCCCAGTTGTGCATTGTACATTCTTTGGACTGATTTCAAGATGGCCGACAGGCAGCCATCTTGGATTTTGGAAGCAAAAGTTTGTTACTGCTATTTCTTGGAAAGTACTAGATGGATCTTTCTCAAATTTCATATGCAGGTTCCCCTTGGTCCATAGTTGTGCATTGTACATTTTTTGGACTCATAATTCATATGGCCGACAGGTAGCCATCTTGGATTTTGGAAGTAAAAGTTTGTTACCGCTATTTCTGAGAAAGTACTAGATGGATCTTCCTCAAATTTCATATGCAGGTTTCCCTTGGTCCCTAGTTGTGCATTGTACCTTTTTTGAACTGATTCGCATTCAAGATGGCCGACAGGTGGCCATCTTGGATTTTGGAAGTAAAAGATTGTTACCGCTATTTCTGAGAAAGTACTAGATGGATCTTCCTCAAATTTCATATGCAGGTTCCCCTTGGTCCCTAGTTGTGCATTGTACCTTTTTTGGACTGATTTGAATTCAAGATGGCCGACAGGCAGCCATCTTGGATTTTTTGAAGTAAAAGTTTGTTACCGCTATTTCTGAGAAAGTACTGGATGGATCTTTCTCCAATTTCATATGCAGGTTCCCTTTGGTTCCAAGTTGTGCATTATACCTTTTTGGACTGATCCGAAATCAAGATGGCTGACAGGCAGCCATCTTGGATTTTGAGAGTAAAATCTTGTTACTGCTATATCTGAGGAAGTCCAGGATGGATCCTTCTGATATTTCATAGATATTGGTTTCCCTTGGTCCCTAGTTGTGCATTGTACCTTTTTTGGACTGATTTGAAATCAAGGTGGCCCACAGGCAGCCATCCTGGATGTCGACAGTAATACAGCACAAGCATATTGTCCATTATCCACCTGTAACTGACTGCTATCTAATAATACTTTGGGATCTTTTTCAAATGATATTTGCTAATAGGTGCTTAATAAAAATATCTTGTGCCATCATTGAGTACATTCAATGAAGACCAGTTCATGAACATTTACAACACCTGTAACAAACAAACAAAAATCTTCAAGAACTGAAAACAGATCCTCAAATGGTGGGTGCCAAGATCCCTCTGGGATCTCTTGTTATTTATAAAACTTGTTACAAAGTTTTCATTTTACCAGAATCTTGCTTATTTGAATAATTCTAACTCATTTCATCAATTTCATTTGAAATTACAATTCACAAAAGATCCTGTATAACAAATCGCACAAATTATGTGATTTGTTTTAAAGATTGGGACCAAAATTTGGTGGTATTGAAGGTTTCTAAAGTTTTACGTATTTTTCTAAAAGGGCAATAAAACCTTTGGAATACCTATAACTATGATGTTGGATAAAAAGTTTTGTACAGCATTAATTCATGAAACCAGCCGTTGTACTGCAGTAGAAAAAAAAATAAACAGGAGCTATCTCCCCTGTGATCTTAGTGATGCACTCTCATTTTAAGATATTGTGCTTTGTCCATCGTCATGTGCCGTCCATTATGCGTAAACTTTTGACATTTTAAACTTCTTCTCAAGTTCCACCAGGATTGAGCTCCAACTTGTATGAAATGATCCTGAGATGGTCCTGACTAAGTGTTGTTTTTTCAGGTTGATCTGAGATCCAAGATGGCTAATGTAGTCGCCATATTGAAAAATGCCTTTTAAAATTCTTCTCCAGTTCCACTGGTGCCATTGACCTAAAAGTTGGTGGGAATGTTAAGGAAAGGTAGTCAACAAATTGTGGTTATTTTTCGACCTTGTCAAAACTTCGACATGGCAGTCAGGGAGGCCATTTTGTAACATGATTGTGCAATCATGGTTTTCCTGTGCAACGCCTATTTCAAACATCTCAGGTTTCACCAGTGGGATTGAGCTCAAGCTTTACTGTCAACACTTGTAACAGTTACCTACTCTCACCAAAACTACCATCTGCATCACGGAAAACAAGTTCTTAGTAAGATTACATTCAAAGGAGAAAAAATAACCCTTCTCCCTGTTGAAAGTTTTGTCGTCAGATGACCGTTAAGGCCTGTGACCCTCTTTTTATTATATAGATCAAATAAAAAATATTACAGTATATTTTATTTTGATCAATCATTTACAGGTTAAAAATGTAACTATGTTAAGAAAATAAAGTTGATGAATACCAATGAAAAATGTTTGTCTTTTTACTCAAATGGTAAATCAAAGTTGCACCTCCAGAACAGTGAAATAGAAATAGCACAAAAGGAGTCCAGCACTATTCCATAATACACTGTGTATATACAGTATTTCAAAGCCACAAACAATAGTTATGATTATTGAATAATATTATTCATATAGTATGTATTCATACAAATATGTTGCGTTTTTTTTTTAAGTTAGTTTTCCATTTCAAACATTATGGTTATCAAACATTCAGTTTGAGCCATAATTTTAACCTCAGGGAGGATTGTATAAATAGTGATGCTCTGATGACAGCTAGACTTGCCAGCTAAAAACATCATCACTAACACAATATTTTTTAATCATGGAATAGAACCATACTTATATTTTAGAGAATATTGTCCTTCATAAAAAACAGTCATGACTAGACAACCTCACCCTTCATGAGAAACAGTCGTGACTAGACAACCTCACCCTTCATGAGAAACAGTCGTGACTAGACAACCTCACCCTTCATGAGAAACAATCGTGACTAGACAACCTCACCCTTCATGAGAAACAGTCGTGACTAGACAACCTCACCCTTCATGAGAAACAGTCGTGACTAGACAACCTCACCCTTCATGAGAAACAGTCGTGACTAGACAACCTCACCCTTCATAAGAAACAGTCGTGACTAGACAACATCACCCTTCATAAGAAAGTCGTGAATAGACAACCTCACCCTTCATAAGAAACAGTCGTGACTAGACAACCTCACCCTTCATAAGAAACAGTCATGACCAGAAAAATAACACTTAAATATGAAGTCCACCATGCTTAGTATGCTCATATGTTACCAATGTTACTTATGAAATTTGACCCAGCTTTGCATTGATTGACGGTAACAGGTGTCGGATATGTGTGTCCAAGACATCAAGAGAGAGTGTATATGTATACTGTAAATGATAGGAAAACAACAAAAATTCTGCTACATTTGTGTATATAGTTAATCATCATCTGACCAATTTGTTGTACAGTCAAAATGTTTTAGCTTTAGGAGAAGAAGTACTTTGCTCCTTTCCTCCCCATACATTACATAACTATGGTTGAAAGAAAATGTAGAACATAAGTATTCAATATCAGTGTAGTGGAACTGGAGGGGTTTGATCATCAGCGACTAGTTGCTCAGTAGGTAGAGCATCCATCTAGAGTTTGTAAGTTCCTTGGTTTGAACCCCGGTCTGGCCGCGCATTTTTCCGCTCCTGTTACATCAATCTGCAATACTTTGTCACAGTAAATGTCGAACCTCAAACCAAAATTGTTTATCAGAACCTTTTAGACTAAAGTACAAAGAAGAAATGGAGATCTGATATTCAGTTGAAATACCCAAGTGCTACAATAAGCTGAGATGGACATTTTGGAAGTGTCACCATTTGTGAGCTTCCTCTTTCTATAGCTATGGGTGATGGTCAGTTGGGCGATATCCCACTGGGACCTAGATGTGCTTGACACATCACTAAATGCAGATATGTACACTATGTACTTGTATACAAGTTTTTTTCACTTTTTCTGATAGATGATATCTTTTTAGAAAAATGTTTATACCCACTGTGTAGGATGAGGAGTTTACAAAGCTGGTTTTATTATTTCAAACCATTTAGTAATTTTGAAACAAAATTGGTTAAACAGTATTCTGTAATACCAATAAAAAATTACAATTGTGTGTAATTACATTTGTAACGTTAATGATATTGTTGTAAACTAGACAATGCCATCGTTTATCATCTGGTTGCAGATTTCTAGTTTTGTTTATATAACAGTTTAAAGTTTAGTAAAAAGGTCACACATACATGTAGGTAGGTATCCATATATTTGAGGGGTGACTTCTTGAGGGTCATTGGCCAACTGCCATGAGGGTCGCTGTATGTGAGGGCTGTGAAAAAGAAGTCAGTTAATAAGTGGATTTAGAGGAAGTGGACTTACAGAGTGGAGTTAGTGAGAGCAGAAAGAAATATCGAGGACAGTACTTTTCAGGACAGAGAAAACTATATAAGGAAGAATTAGGCACCTGAAGATTGAAAACATTTATTAGGTCTACATGAGATTATCATATTAAACCTCATAATTTGTAAAATTGATACAGATTTGTGTGTTAACACCCATAATATCACCACAAACATAGAAAGTTAATGAAATATTCATTTGGACAAAACTGACAGACATTCACACAATCAAAGATGCAAACCCATTACATATTTCAGGTGACTGGTTGATATTTGTTTTCACAATTGTAAATGACCTATGTGACCTTTAAACAAGGTCAAGGTAATTTATTGAACAAACTTTCAGCAATATGTGTTCATGTATGTAGATATTCAGAAAGTTTTCTCTCCCAGAGACACACAGATCTGACTTCATTTAAACACACATGGTGTTATGCTGGATACTTTTTTTGTTATAGCCCGTAGGAAAGTCCTTTGTTTAGTCTTAGACTCTAATGAAGGAAAATGGAAGTGACAGAGTTTTATGAATAAATTTCCAAATATAATGCAGATTTTCAGGAAAAGTCAGTTACATTAGTCCATTACAAGCTTATAAAGATTACAGCTGGGGGGAATGAACCGCAAACAAACGATCCGTGATTGGTTCTAATATTGCAACGTGGCTTTCGGTGTGAACAGCACGCTTTATTGCCCTAAACTTAGTACTCAAGCATTTTGACGATCGATATTCCACGAGAAACACGACAACGAAAATGGTAGACATGAAGTTAGCGGCGTTGCTCTTGTTGCCGATTTTCATCACGGCAGTTTTGTCGGATGGCGAAACAGGAACAAGGAAAGCTGTGGTTGAGGTACTATATGTTGTAGTCAATTATAAAGCGCATATATACTTTCTGTAGACAGAAGGTAATCGTTGTTGCGTTGTCGTCTGTTGATTGAGCTTTTACTGCCTGTTGTAATCACAGGCATATTTTTGTGCCTAGTTGACTGGATATTTGCTTGGGTTGTTTACGTTCCAAATACAGATGGATGTGGTTAAACTTACCTGCCTACCGTCCTTTGGGAGTAACGTATACAGTGTCCTATTTGTCTTATTCCTATATTGGTACAGCTGTACCGTTTTTAAATTTATAATATACACCCCCCGATTTACCTGATAATCGCTTCTTCATCGGATTGGGAATTCGAACATCACGAGGTTTGCGAGGTTGCATTGGAAAGAACAACCTCATTATAAGTACAGATGATTTTTGTTAGGGATTGGTGCTGGTGAACCCCAGACGAATATTAAAATGTCAAACATTTGAATATTTCTTACTAATATGATGAAGTATCTGGGTTTTGACCACATCTGCTAAGATATACCAGAATATTCAGTCAGAAATGAGGTAGATGGACTCAACACAAGTGGTTGGATGGTGCAGTGGTAATGCATTCGCCTTTCACCTAGCTGTCCGCGGTTCGATTCCCGCAACAGACCTGAAATGGTAAGGGGTCACCTGTCCGACCACATGGGTTTTCTTTGGATAATCTGGTTTCCTCCCACAATGAGACCCCTTGCACATTTACATTCGGGCCATCAAGAGTTTAGTTTAAGTTGAAATAACTTGTTTCACAATTGTTGTAAAATGAATAAAGTTTATATTACAGGTATATAAAATTGTGGGCTACAGCTGTTGGTAGTCAAAATTGATATTGTGTAATAGGCAGTAGTAATGAAAAACAACCAAGGCCTGCCATCAGTGGGGTTTGCATTAGTGACCCTTTATCTGAAGCTAGACACTCTACCACTGAACTAAAGGGACATTCCTACCAGCCGAGGCTAGTAAAGTTACCTGTACTCTCAACTTCTACACTTCTCCCTCAGTCATAAAAGTTTTTGATCCTGAAGAAAGCGATAAGAGAGGTTCAATATTTGCATCTGAATCTCCTGTAGCTTCTACCCTTGGAGTGGAATAGGAAGGGTTAATAAAAAGCACCCTGCCACCACTGGGGTGGGAACTAGTGACCCTTCGGTCTCTAGCTTGACATTCTACTGCTGGACTGTAGGGAAATTTCCACTAGCCAAGGCTTGTAAGACAATCTGAACTCCCTACTTCTACAGTTGAAGGGGTTGGCCGACTATTACTGGGTGTTTCTGAGAAATTTTTCCTCTGAATTAAGGTATGCATCAGAGTTCTATTGAATCCTTTGAAGTGTATGGAAGTTTAAAACCTTGACAGCCTGGTACTGCAACATTTGTAGCACCATGAATGTAGGATGTAGAGGACTTTCTGAAGTATCAAAATGTTTTTTAACATATAACTTTTAAAAATTGTTTGAATAAGTGATTTTTATCGTAGTTTATGACAGTTACTCAAAACTGCCATGGTATCAAGAGGAGTTTGGACTACATTTCTGCACAGAGCAATTCACTGAATTGTTTGTATGTCAAGGTGACTAGTTCTATGAGGGAAACAGTTTGAACACAAAAACAGAGTGAAGTTTCAATCAGTGTTGCAGGATGCATGGTCAGTTTCTTTTAAAAAGTTTTTTGGTTCAGGACAGAAATCTGATTGACAAATGTTGCCTGTTCCTTACATCCTTTATCCTCACCACAGCTGATATTTTTGAGACACTGACCATTTACAGTAATTTGAGTCTTTAAAAGTGAAGGTTATGAAAAGAAAAATATCTATATGATGTGGAAAGTGACAAGACCATGTCATCATGTACAATTAAAAAATCATATTGTGCTGTTTTTGGGATTGGATTTTTACTGGAATGTTGTTTTACATTTTAGAGTTGCAGTGGATGACGTTTGAACCGCTTTCCTGCCATAAAAAGATTTGTATATGAAGATGTTGATGCAGGATTATAGTATCCTTTGAGTAGTATAAAATTATGTAGTCTACTTTATGAAAATTCAAATACTGGAAAAAAAATTGAATATGTCACTTATTTCGCCAATGTTGCCTTGAAGAGGTGTTCAGGAATATGTATAATATTTTTCCACCTATAAGCCTAAGTATGGCAATTATAAGCCCCCTTACTTCAGTTGTACTTGTAAGGTAAACAGATGCTAAATTTATCATCCATGATGAGCCCACCTCCCTACTTTGAGCCAGAGTTTAAGCTTTGGCCACAAGGGCTTACTGCAGGCATTTAACCAGATCTGCTTTGGAAATATTCCCGAATACAGAAAAGTACAGTATTTAACACAAATTAAAAGCCACACTGGCTAACCACACATACTGATGGAGTAGAATTGAAAAAAAGGAGTGGAAGTACAACCACACTCAACCCAGTACCTTGTGAAAACAATAGGTATATACTCCATAAAATACTGTACTAAGTGACTTGGTTTTAAAAGAAACAATAAGGCCATGAAATACTGCTTCCCGTTTTATGGTAAATATTACTTTGAAAAAATTAACACAATACATTTGATAATTGTAGATAGAAATATATTGCTATATAATATCTGCTTGCCTGGTGTACAGTAAAATATTCTGAATGCTGTGTGGATATTATCTGACACTAGACACAGTGCCAAGTGGTTTGAAAAATTTAACTTGAGCCCTTAAAATAAGGTATGAAAATTGCAAGTAGATGAAGGAAATATCTTTCTTTTTTCTTTTAAAATGACCTCGACGCACTTTAAATGTCTGAGGGGTTAGATGTCAAAAGTCAACAGGCACAGGTTGCGATATTTGGTTTGTAACATGGAGGATGTAGGGCTTTCTTAGTTCAAGGGAATGAGCTTGAACTATTATTGAAAGTTGCATGAAAAATATCTTCACTAAAAGTTGTCTTCCCTTTATTGGTCCGCTTGCATAACTTTTGATTTTCTTACTTTTCCTGTTTACGTCAATACGTGTGTACATATTGAACATTCCGACCCTAGAGAGTAGACTGGACAGTCTACAGTTATATAAAATTAATTCCTTGACAGAGCTGAAGTCCAGGTGTTGAGTTCCGCAGGAAGTCAGGAGCTCCGCCAGTGTTGATCCTTGATGAGGGCGAGGAAAATGAGGAGGTAAAATAACATTTGTAGTTCACAATACATCATTGATCACATTATAGAGTAGAAAAGGATTTCACTTTTCTCTTATAGGAGACCGGGATTATCTTGCCCAATGCTAAATTTATTGGTCGTGTCTGATCTGTTGGGTACTTTAATACAATACTTGGTGCCAAATGACGTTATTCTCATGTTTTTCCAACATAACGCTGCAAATGGTGGTAATCTAATGGAATCAAAAAAGTTTGGAAATGAAGCTGGCTGATAAAGTTGTATGTAATTTTGAGTTATGTTCGAGAAATAGAATTCATTACTTGTATAATTTTTTCAGATTCAGATGTCTAAAAATAGAAAAAAGATAGTACATTGGTGGCCTGTAGGAGGTAATTGATATATCAGAGTTGGGCTGACATTCTGTAATATTTCATTCTTGGCTTCACTCTGAAAGATTTTTAATCAGAAAGTCAGCCCCTGATTGAGATTAATCAATATCCTAAACACAGGATGTCAGCAGTCTACAGTTAAACTTTAATAATATATCAAAATTTTGACAGTTGTATCATAAGTTATCTAATCTGTAAATGTTTGTTTTACAGAGAATCAGTTTGGAAAGTCATGACTTGGAGTCCTGTCGAAAGCTCATGGAAGAAAAGGGTTTCAAGCGAAAGGAAAAAAAATCTGTTGTAACTGATAAAGAAGATTTGTAAAAACCTACATAGTTAGAGAGAAACCTGTTAGAATTCATATCATTACTTATACTCTGGTAGGACGAGTAATGAATGGAATGTATTTTTATGTAAACATCAATATATTCATGTTACAAAATTTTTTAAGAAATAAGATTCAGTAGAAAAACGAGAAGCATATATGTGATTTTGATTTTAGTCCCATGTGAGAAGAGTTCTGAGGCAACTGAAGCTATATATACTGACGTGTCAAAATGATTTTATCCTGAATTAAGCCCAGTAGCATCACATATTTTTTGTATACCACTGACAAAGTCAGAGTTATGCTTGTTTAATCTAGGATGTTGAAATGGCAATTATTAGTAATTTTAATGAATAGCAATATTTACCAATATATATGGGTGGACCTATTACCAGGCAGAGACTTATCTCAGGATAAATGGGTATATTTGTAATGTTTTCATAAAACAAAACTGAAATTAAGTCTTGTATGTATTTATATAATACATTTATATTTTTTAATACAGGGCATTCCATTTCGTTCAAAATCATAGTTTACTTGCTGTTATCATTGACAGGTCAATCTGAATGTGTTTTATTTAGAAGTTGAAAGTAGACTGTTACACTACCTGTGACAAGGATTGATTAGAATGAATGTCTTGATACGAAGGCTCTAGTGTGATTGTTCAATTCTTTCTATCTTGTTAAGAAATGAGATATTTTATATCAGTTACTATTTTCATAATGAAATTTTATCTATTTAAATATCTACACAATGTACATGTGCAATAAACATGTTTTCCTTTAGAAATATTCAGGTTTGATAATCTCTCAACATGTCTTAAGTGTGTGTTTTGAATGCATGTGTGTGCGAGAATTATTTAACAGGTAAAATTGCATAATTTGTATTTATTTCCATCATGAAGAAAGATGTTGTCGAGATTCACCAGACAATGACTTGTCTTGCTAGTTTTCTGTGAGGGCAAGATTTTATGAAATTAGGAACAAAAACTTTAGCTGTTTCTAATGGATGGTTGACACTTGTACCCCATAATGGAAACTAGCAATGAAGTTGTTGTGTAATGTCTCTTGATGATGAAGCATGGAGAAATCACAATAAAATCTGTGATAAATCTTTATCTTTGTTTTGTTGTATCTGTTGTCTAGTCTTAAATTAAATATAGTTGATGTTTCTCTGATAGCCATCAGACTTTCTCATATAAGGGTAATTTGAAACTATTGGTCCGTTTTAAACTAAGAATATAAGAACTGAGTCTGGACTACATATGTCAATAGTTGATGGTTCTGAGATGGGCATCACACTATAGAATGCTATGGGTTGTTCTGAATTACTGATTTTATGAATGAAGTAAGCGTACTTCGTTCTGAAACGTGTTCTAGTCGTTAAACTTGAGAAAAAGTGGATTTAAGCATCAGCTTACATAGTATATTGAAAGTGCGGTTGAAATTAAATTTGTGAAAGAGGCATTGGCTCTCAATCCCCTCTTGATAAATTTACAGTTCTTACAATTTTGTCATTTTAGCCCACCTGAGCTGACAACAAAAAGACCTTTAGCTGAACTGACAACAAGACCTATAACGATACTGACCTATATGAGTGTGTATACAGAGAAAACTAGTCGTTTCATATTTTGAATTTAGAAATATATATACAATTTTTGATACTGCATCTGTATAGGTGAATATTTTCGTTGGAGTTTTGAATATTTTATCTATTTGATCCACATGATATTCCATCGCAAAACTATCCTTGCACTGATCAACACAAACACAACTTTGATCCCCATCACACACCCAAAGACTGGATAAGCAGAGCAGGATCATAACCTATGACCAAGTAGGTGCTAGAGTGTGCAATAGAAGACTATCTGTGCCCATTGGTATTCAGAGCAAAGTACTGTGATGGAAATGTGTAAATGGCAAGACGCAAGAGAAACATGGACATACAGTGACAGCATTAATTATGACCAAAAAACTGTGACAAAAGGAATTTTCAGCCTACCATTATTCAATGAAATGTTTAAATTGCCATGTGTCCTTGTGATCTATCTGTCCTTAAATCATTTGTGATATCTCTTTGTTGAAATTTACAGTGGATCCATGATAATCAAGACACCTTCATTTCCAACCTTAGTCATCTAGTTCAGTCAATATAATTAGAACTATCTCCTTCAATCACAGAATGATCACGTTGTCAGTATAATACTGTTTCTTTTAAGAATTATGCTTTTAGTTTTCTAGACTGATCAGAGAAACCAAAATAGCTGAATAGCAGTTATCTTGAATTTTGACCGGGAAAGTTTGTTATTGCTATTTCTTGAAAGATACTGGAGGTATCTTTCCTAAATTTTCCTATTGGTCACAAGTATGTCATTTCAATTTAGAGACTAATGAGAGAAATAATAGATTAATCTTTTTAAAGTTTCATATATTCCACTTGGTCACAATCATGTATCTTGATTATTGATAGGGAAAACAAAAATGGTCGACAGGTAGCCATCTTGGATTTTGACGATTGTAATTTAAATGGGATAAGTAGAAGGTCATTTTTTCAAGGTACATTTTCCATGCTTAGCAAATTTAATTCCATCAGCAATAAAAAAAAAAAGGAAAATAGCAACCTAGGTATTCAGTATTGAAGTGATGACATGTAAACATGTGACCTAATCCTTGCAATATCGACACAATAACCAAAAACTACAAAAGAATCAAAACAAAAATTTATTTTTTCTTCTTTCCTGCGCTTTTGCCTTTCTTTTTTTGCATTTTCAACTGTTGTTTTTTCTTTTTCATGTCCTTTTTCATGCGGCCATCTACAACTTTGTATGGTCCTTGCACGCCAGCAGGTCGACGGACCCTCTTGCCAGCACCTTTCTTAGCTACTACATAAGTAACTTCCTTCTTTTTAGCTGATAGCAGGCCAGCCTTCTTGTAAACTCTGTAGACAGAATAAAAAAGTTTAAAGTTATACAGAACACAGATACAGATCTAGGGTAAATATTTTCCTATATAAAGTATATTGGATTACTGTAAATTTCTAATGTTTAAGTGAATTGAGGTCAGATGTGATGATGCCAAGTCCTGTATGAAGTCAGAATGATGACTTTCATAAAAGGGTAAATAATTAAAGATTTGGTTTCTGAACAAGCATATTAGGGAAATAGCTAATGTGTGAAAATGGTATGAAGTAGAGTTCCTATTAATTTGTTGGTCTATTGACAGTCATTACAGTATGCTCTCAATAATATCTTAAACCATAATACATACTGTTTAATCTGCTGCCATCTGTCTCTGTCTGTAATGTCTGCCGTGTCGGATATCACCTCCGCCTTCTTCCTTGCTCGTTCAAGACGCCTCATTTCCTTTAAATAATAATAAAGGTTTTGGAGAGCTCTAAATAAATTCTGTAGTTCTGGATGAAACCTTTTCAATATCCTCCACTAACTTCACTGAGCAAGGCATAACTAATGTTTGATTTTAAAGTTTGAGTTCTGGTTGAATGATTATTTAAATCCTGAACCTTAACAAAGTAATCAAAAGTACAAGATGATCACAGATGTCCACACACTCCATTTCTGAACAGTTTTTACTGTCAGTACACTCCATTTCTAAACAGACAAACAATTGTTTTATAAAGGAATCGATTTACTGACAAGCATGATGGCATACAAATAAAAGAAACATTCTGTAATACATATATAAAAAGATGAATATTTTACCTTCTTCTTTTTCCTGGCTTTAGCCTGGGCAATCTTTTTGATAGGTCTAGCGTCAATTGATTTCATCTTCATCAGGTATTCCTGGACGTCTCCCTGAAGGTATTACAGTACAGAATGGCTGTATTGGTTTAATCTTGAGCTTAATAATAACTCAAAATTCAGCTAAGATTTCAAAGCATAGACACAAGATTCATTTCCACTAACTAACTATGGATTATCCACTGACTAACTATGGATTATCCACTGACTAACTATGGATTATCCACTATGGATTATCCACTGACTAACTATGGATTATCCACTATGGATTATCCACTGACTAACTATGGATTATCCACTGACTAACTATGGATTATCCACTGACTAACTATGGATTATCCACTGACTAACTATGGATTATCCACTATGGAATATCCACTGACTAACTATGGATTATCCACTGAATAACTATGGATTATCCACTGACTAATTATTGATTATCCACTGACTAACTATGGATTATCCACTGGATTATCCACTGACTAACTATGGATTATCCTCAGACTAACTATGGATTATCCACTGACTAACTATGGATTATCCACTATGGATTATCCACTGACTAACTATGGATTATCCACTGACTAATTATTGATTATCCACTGACTAACTATGGATTATCCACTGACTAATTATTGATTATCCACTTACTAACTATGGATTATCCATTATGGATTATCCACTGACTAACTATGGATTATCCACTATTGATTATCCACTGACTAACTATGGATTATCCACTATGGATTATCTACTGATTAACTATGGATTATCTACTGATTAACTATGGATTATCTACTGATTAACTATGGATTATCCACTGACTAACTATGGATTATCCACTGACTAATTATTGATAATCCACTGACTAACTATGGATTATCTAATGATTAACTATGGATTATCCACTGACTAACTATGGATTATCCACTGACTAATTATTGATAATCCACTGACTAACTATGGATTATCCACTGACTAACTATGGATTATCCACTGACTAATTATGGACTATCCATTGAGTAGCTATGGTTTATTCACTAACTAAACTATGGATATGCACCTGCAAAACGATTCACTAACTACCATATGGTGCACATAATACAATGTTAGAATGACCTCCAAAAACATCTTGGAGATATATCAACCGACGACATTCACAGACACATGTGCATGTATTCTTGCATGATCAAGAAGTGATGTTATCCTTCAATAAATATTACTCTAAAAATTTCATTATCTAACATGGTTAGCTTGCTAAACTGGTGTATCGCCTTATGAGCCAGGATTGAACATACCTTTGTGACTGGCATTTCTCTTTTGGTGTGTTTGGCTTCGTCTTTGATGAACCATTCTGGCAAATTATCATCATCAAACATGTATCTGAAAGTGACAAGATATTTTTTAATTACTTTATAACATGAGAAGTTACTTATGTTTGTTTGTTTGTATGCTTTATTGTACCATCAACAGCCAGGATCATTTTGAGGTGAAGTTGCTTTTGGTTACTTGGTGAAGTGTCTTGTCCAAGGACACAACCACATCAGCAGACTAGTCTGCTCTCAGCTTCCCAAGAAACACAAACCATCAGAGAGAATTAAACTGTACACCTTGGATCCTCACCTGAAGTTATGTAGCCCAACACTCTAACCCACTGAGCTATCATGAAGTGCAACAAATGAGATCACCATTGTTTTTACATTTAAAATGATGCCCAAACTTTAAACTGTGAAAGGAGGTACCCATATTATACAGTGTGGAGAAATTTCAACCAGAGCTTATCTTTTGCCTCATAAGAATGAACAAATTTTTATGCATTCTACGGTAAATTTAAGAAAGGGTAAAAATAAACGAACACCTTTATACAAGGCAAAAGAAACAAAGTTGCGATCTTAAAACTGCCCTCCTTTATGAAGAAAACTTGAAGTTGAAAGTGTGAAATAATCCTAACAGAATTAAATGACATAGAATAAAGACAGTATCATTGATCTTAATGTCTCTTAAAATCTGGCCTGTTAGGACCATACCTGTGATATCCACCATCGATTATATCCCGTTTACGTTTCCGAGACTGCACCATGGCAGCTCCAATAGCCAGTCCTGTAGGGTCCAGATAACCTGTACAAAATAAAATAACATGAATCGTATGAATTTTTTATGTTTGTACTTTTACCTGTATTTTCATCTGGAGAAATATCTCTCCATAATTTTATTGTTTTATTTTTTTCTTATGTTCAACCAGTTGTATGCTTTCAAATGCTTACTGTAAAATCAGTTATTTTTGTGGGGAACTCATTTTTTGGTAAATTCATGAGTCCTTAAATCAAAACACATGTACATTTATTGAGCTATATTTGTCCATGAACCCACCAAACATTATTTCACAAAAAATTCTATCTGAAAGTGAACTTACGAAAAACAAACGCCTTAACTATCAGGGTCACTTTTACTGGGTTAGAGTACATTTTTTGTTGGCGACACAAACAGAATATTGACGTAACAAAACTGGAATCAAATATCAGAGACTGAAAGGGTTTCTAAATATCCTTCTGTCTACAACTGGTTTAAATCTTACACGTTCACAAATGCTAGTGTTAAAGAATAAATGACATGTACTTAATGAAATCACTGTTAAATTTTACAAATCTATAACTAGTAATGTATGGAACCTATCCTGAGTGACTTTGAGTTTGAGCGAATACATACCTGCAGGGACTTCCTCAAACCCTGCTGTGTCTGAATGTTTCTGTTTTGCCCTTTTCTTCATCTCTGCTGTATCTAAATCACTATCATCACTATCGCTGTCACTTTCATCGCTATCTTCATCCTCCTCATCATCATCATCACTTTCATTGTCACTGTCATCTACATTAGACATATCTGAATCTGAGTCCTGCTTTTCATCAACACCACTATCGTCCTCTTCAGTGTCAACTCTTTTTGATTTCTTTTTTACCTCTTTTTCTTTCCTTATCTCTTTCTTCCCTTAAAAAAGAAAAGACAAAATTCTGGTTTTGTTGCTATACTTAAATGTAAATGAAGTTAAATATGAAAGCATTTTAATCAGATAGCAGTAAAGTGACATATTTCACACAAATTATACAGTTAGAAATTGCTAACTTAATGTGCCCCATTTAAATCTCAATATAAATAAAACCTCAAATGCAAACAAACAATATATCTGTTACAAATCCCCTAGCAACCTGCAGCATGTTTCATACCTATTATAATCAGTGTTTGTCAATCTCACTGGAAGCAGCTTTTGCAAAACAGCTTCCTTGAAATCTAAATTTGAGAGCTGTTGGGTGAATTTTGAAGCCTTTTAAAACCCGAAAATGGCAAGTTTTGATGTAAGAACAAGGGTCTCACAAGTTACCTGTGATGGTGCCTCCTCGTCGCTTATAGTCCTCCATCATTTTCTCGATCTCTATATCCTCGTCAACTTCATCATCTAAGCCAGCAAATGATTCCTGCACACACCAAATATCAAATTCCTTCATATCTAATGATACACACAGTTATCACCGTTTCATCCAAAAAAGAATTCCTGTACATAAAATATCCAATTCCTCCATATCTACCAATAATAAACAATAATTTCATCACCTAGACCAGTAAAGGATTAAGAATCAATGAAAAGAGCTATAAAAGATGATCTCAGCTGTTGGATCTATGGCAGAAACCTCACTTATACAACTAAGATTGACAAGGACGTACTCATCTACTGAAAGGCCGTAAAAGTGGACGAAAAAACTAATTAAAATAAATAAATAGCGATGATGTTAAGTTGAAGTATAGTCATGATATCAACCTAAAACTGACAAAGATAAATAGACCCTATTTATTTAAAGGCAATTATCAAAAAAGTTGTTACAAATCACTTTTACCAGTCAATCTTGTTGACTTGGGTGAAAAAATGTTGGGGGTCTTCATGAGAGTAGAAATTTGAAGAAAACTAAAATGATCTGGCAGGTGACCCCATACCTTGTACATAATCACTAGATCGACAAGCCTAAATCACAAACTAACACTGATAAATCCAATCCATCCTTGGAGAGGAATTTTGTTTACCTTGTTGAACCAGGAGTTGAGTTTACGTTCCACTTGTGTAGAGACTTTCTCTAAGTTGACTATCAATGGATTGGCATCCTTCTTCACCTGTTCATCATCTTCAAACTCCATATCCCTATTGTCACCAAAATTAATTTACATCTATTACGTCAGTCACTCATCTTCAAATTCGATACTCTTATTTTCACCCAAATAAATTCAAATCTTTTCATATCAATAGCAAAGACTTCCATCTGCAGCTTTCATTCAGAATTATGGTAAACATTGTCTTACTGTATAGTTATCTAATTTCTCTGCGCTAATATTTTCTGGTTGTCCCTGTTTGGGCTAGTTCACAGGAATTAAAGTTTGTCCATGCAGATGGCATTTTTCATTTTCATTCCCAGTAAAAATGTTTGTTTAGTATTTGATTTGTGCTGTCTTAAATGACTGTGAAATATGGGAAAATTAAACACCACAAATATTACCAACTATACAGTATATGACCAAACTACCTAAAAATTAAAGCATTTTCTCTACATAGATTTTATCAAAGAGGAAGTACATGTGGAAGTCTTAACATTAAGCAAGCCCAGATTAAGTCATATTCTATTATTCTGTGTTTGACACTGTAATGTTAAACTGATTTAACATTCTAATCCTGCTACAATCTTAATGAGTAAGAAGACATTCTATCTCACAATCAGGGATGGGCTAATTGCAGGATAATGAAAAAGCATTTGTTGGTAATTCAACTTAACAGAAAAACTATATGGGTGGGCTTATTACCAGGCATGAGCTTATAGACTCAACAAAAGTAGATAACATTTTTTCAATAGAAATTTAAAATTAGATACAGTAGAACCAAATAATGAATTTAAGTGTATCATACAGCTGTTTAGTCCTTCTGGTACTTGTCCATGATGCTAAAGGCCTAAACCTAGGAGGTGACTGAGAAAGGTCAAAGCTGGTTGAAATAAATGTCAAAAATCAGTCACAGAGGAGTGCTAGGTGAATACAGAGATCATTTTAAACATGAATGAACATCAGTAAAGACAGAGGGATATATGTCTTATATCTGACAATTTTATAAAACCATGTTTTCAAACAAAATTTTTTTCCAAGCTCAAGATAAAACTCACTCTTCTTCAGCATCTTCATCATCATCATCATCTTCCAAATCCTCTAAATCGGGCTCCTCTAGGTTTTCTTCGTCTTCAGATGAGGAGTACAGTTCATCTAGATGATCCTGACCATCTCGGTCATAAGTCTTCCGTTTCTGGTGTGATGTTATTTCAGTGTTTGCTTCCAGCTCCTCCAACACAAACTCGTCAGCAAAATGATTCTCGCCTGCTTCCACCTTGTCAAGTTGCTGTAGCAATGAAAAAGTTGATCATTTTGGTGCCATCAATATGTAATTGAAACACATAACATAATATTTGGAATGAGGTTCATCAGTGTAGACATCTTTTTATGGAAGATACAGATGGAAGAATACAATTTTCAATCACTGTTTGTGTTCAAGATAAACATCTTCTGTACCATAACATACCACTACAATAAACAATGCTAGTATTATTAAGTTTAATATCTTTCCCACAAAGCTAGAGTTCAAATCTGACCAGAAGTAACAGAATCATCATAATAAATCAGGCATCAATGACATGCAACTTGTAGCAGGTGGTGCTATTTTGTAGCTTTACTTGTAGCAGGTGGTGCTATTTTGTAGCTTTACTTGTAACAGGTGGTGCTATTTTGTAGCTTTACTTGTAGCAGGTGGTGCTATTTTGAAGCTTTACTTGTAACAGGTGGTGCTATTTTGTAGCTTTACTTGTAGCAGGTGGTGCTATTTTGTAGCTTTACTTGTAACAGGTGGTGCTATTTTGTAGCTTTACTTGTAGCAGGTGGTGCTATTTTGTAGCTTTACTTGTAACAGGTGGTGCTATTTTGTAGCTTGGCCTGTAGCAGGTGGTGCTATTTTGTAGCTTGGCCTGTAGCAGGTGGTGCTATTTTGTAGCTTGGCCTGTAGCAGGTGGTGCTATTTTGTAGCTATATCTGTTATCAGATAATCTATAAAGCAACACAAAATCAACTGACCGATTTGCTTTTCATCTTGTCCAAGTTGAATAAACCAACATCATCTGTGAAGTCATGTTTGTCTCCTGGAATCACCATTTTCATATCCATCTTCTGTCGCAGACGGGCCTTCTCTCGCCTCACCTTCTTCAGTTTCCTGTAAAAGCCAAACATCAGTATATCAGAATGTTATGTTGACATTACAAGTATAGAATGTAATCCCTCACCTCTTCAATAAATTGACTTTGGATTGTGACCCTTCACTCATTCATGACATTGAATTCAGAATATGACCCCACTTTTTGATAAAATTGACCTCACAATGTGACCCTTCACCTTTTAATAGGATTGACAGGATATGACCCCTCACTCTTTGATAAAAATGACCTCAGAAATTGACCTCTTACCTTTTCAGAACCTTTCTCTCCTCATCCTTGGCTTTTGCCAACTGAGCCTCTATTTGAGCTTCCTCATCTTCGCTGTCCTCTGCCACCTCCTCGACCCTATAGAGTTACATGTAAAGACAGGTCTGATTAAGCAAAAACAACAGCAATATGACCAATTGGACCAAGAATTTCTCTTATGAAGTAAGGACAGACCTACAGAACATATCTTCCTTTTTTAAAAGTTTATGCCTTATGAGGTCTGCATCAATATATCTGGGTCTATCAAGATTTATGCCTGAAATATTATATTTGAAGTGCAAATAAACAGCTTTGTCAGCACAAATGAATAGGCCGCAGTAAAAGCTGTCAAGACTCCTGCTCATCCATCCTACCCATCAAGAGCTTGTTTCATAACTGCTGTAAAATAAAGTTAATTTTATTTTTTTTATATATAGCTGGTATTTTAAAGGTCTTTCCAGACAGATCCTTATATCCAAGCAGTCTTTACTGATAGATAATCTTTAAAGTCATGGTTTTACAGACATGTGGTCCTTATTGAAAGATGACCTTAGAAGACAGGTGATACACACCTGATCTGGAAAGACAGATGCAAGGTTAACTTTAAAGACAGGCAAACATTACACATTAGTGATATTTACAGACGTGATTTCTAAAGACAGGTAATATTCACAGACATGTGTTTTCTATAGACAGGTAATATTTACAGACTTGTGATTTCTATAGACAGGTAATATTCACAGACATGTGTTTTCTATAGACAGGTAATATTCACAGACATGTGTTTTCTATAGACAGGTAATATTCACAGACTTGTGTACATAATATTCACAGACATGTGTTTTCTATAGACAGGTAATATTCACAGACATGTGTTTTCTATAGACAGGTAATATTCACAGACTTGTGATTTCTATAGACAGGTAATATTCACAGACATGTGTTTTCTATAGACAGGTAATATTTACAGACTTGTGATTTCTATAGAAAGGTAATATTTACACATGTGCTATTCATGGACAATATCTCATGCTAGTCTATAACAGGTTGTTGTTAGAATTGACTGTATGTTATAATGATATTACTGCACAAACTTACTTCTCCCCTTTGCCGTCCTTAGCCTCCTCATCCTTTCCCAAACTTTTCCTGACCTGTGTGCGCCACTTGATCAGCGACCTGTACAACATAGGGATATGGATTTACTTGTTTAGAAACTTTCTCAATGTACACAGAATGGCGTTGGAAATTTAACTTGCACTTCTAAAAGTGAAGTGGGGAAAAACTGATTTTTGAATTGCGACAAGAAGAAAATAACCAGCAAACATATTAATTACTCAAGCAGCTTAATTATACAACTACATACATTTTAGGTCTCAAGGTCTTTTCACCGGAATAAAGTTGAAATTCAAATTGGTTTACATCATCGAGTTCACTTTTAACAAGAAGCATCTCTGCTAGTTAGCTTTATTTCAGTTCGAAATTGACACAAATTTTGAGAATTGGCCAGGGTGAATGATGCAAATAAATTATTACTGTTGTGTAATTCTTCAAAATAACACAAAAAATCTGTCAAAGTAACACAAATGATCTGTCAAAACAATTCACAAATACTTTTGATGCAAGCTATATTAATCACTATCCCATTGAAAATTTATATCCTTCCTTCAACAGTGAAATTCCCATCATACCTGTACTGTATCAAGTAAATCGGTATTTCAACACTGCTCGGAGCACAGCTGGACATAAATATATTGTTCAATGTTAAAATTATCCAAGTATCTGTCTCATCAGCAGTAGTTATACCTTATATCTTTCTTTCCAAGCACCTTTAAATCTGCAAGACATTCCTTAATTTCCTTTGTAGTCTCTGGTAATTTAGTAATTTTGTCATCATCCAATACCACCTGTTGTTAATAAAGGAAGTCAATTTTTCAAAACAATTTTAGCTTTAGATGAGACATTTTGTTTTTATGCTATCAACTTCGTCCTTAATTCAATCAAGTAATAACTGTTATTAACAATACAAACAACAAGTAACTACAATATAAGAATTCTAACTACCTTATCATAACAAAGAGATCTTTCTTAATGTACAAGTAAACTTAATTTTGAAGAAAACTTTTCATGATTAATCTAAAAAATTACAAATTTGACAATGAGAAATTTTGATAATATAAATGTGTACTGATAAATTACAAACTTAAACATGCTCTTACTAATTTAGTTCTGTGAAAGTGAAAATCATGACTTCAGCATGTAATAGCCATGTTCTATTTCATAGTATACATCATAAATCAATTATATGTATCAAAAATCTTCAGAGAACATCACAAACATCAGAGAAAACTTAAATCTAACTCACGGCATTAGACTGGGCCATCAAGTCTAAAAAGTTTTCACTATCTATAAACTTAGAGGCCTGGAGTGTGTGATACAAGGTATAATCTCCTTCTGCATAACCGTCACGCTGTCTGCAACGACACAAATACAATACAAGTCATCAAATGTAATTTCACAGCAGTATTCTATTAGCAATTCATCTCAACATGGAGAGACTCAAGTGGCTTTTTAAATAGAATTGAGTTTTATGGTATTTACAACCAATCGACTACAACAGGTCTAACAAAATTGGTACAAGACTAGCTTTATCCTTCCTCCCTGAGTTGTCTGCCCTGTGATAGCCCTTATTTATGTACTTACTTACAAAATTCATAAAATGTATTGAGAACCCAAATTTCCTTACAGTTAATGAACTTATTTATGGGAATGTCTTCTCATACTAAAGAAAGTTCATTTCATAATGATCTGATTATATTTGATTAAACATTAAGAAAAGTGAAAAAGAATAAAGATATTGTTAGCACAATACAAATATAAAACCGAGGTATTGTCTAAAACTGTCACACTCCAGCACCTACCTTCTTTTTTTCTCTGGATGTATAAGGTTAATCATTTGTTTGGGTTCCATGTCAATCTCCTTGAACACAAACTTAGGATCTAAGAACTTTGGATCTATTCTGTCAGGGGCCAGGAACTTTTCACAGACGACAAATATTTCAGCAGACTCGTTACGAGAAGCTTGAGGTTTGGTGGCATGGACTTTCTGAAAGAGTTGCTGAAAAACCCATAGTAAGGAGTTGTAGTCTTTAGATCTGAATACTTTAGTGACAAACCAACCACCTTTCTTCAAAAATTCTGTAGCCAGCTTCAGAGCCTGCAGGGTGAGCTGAGCTGAAATTAACCAGAGTAGGACAGTCAGTACGGAGGGGAAATTCATCACTAACACAAGCGAAATAACAAAATAATAATAATAATATAACATATTTCTTAGACAAAAACCACTATTTAACATTTCATATAAAAACAAATACTTTAGATCAATGCTATGCATTAGGATATTTTGAAAGCTGAATAAAGACTCACACTATTTTTATTCACATATCAAATCAGTATTTCACTTCAAATATACATCTAAAATGGAAATAAACTGAAACATTAACTGATTAATTATATGTGCACAATGGGTGAGCATGAACTGAAGAATTAGATAAGAAGCATTGTCATAGGTAAGTCACCTTGTTGAAAAGCATCATGGAGCCAATTTTTTCCAACATTTCCAGCACCATCGTGAATCACAGAGTCAGCTTTCCATGTCTGTAGTTCCTTTCTCAATGCCTGTGTAGTAGAAAGAATTTTTGATTAAAATACAGATAGACTTATATCAGGGATAAACCTACCCACTGATTATTCAAACAAAGACATCATTTTATGGAAAATATAGAAAACAAACTGTCATTGTCAAAATCCAAGATGGCCGCCTCTGCCATTTTTTATCTGATCAGTTCCAAAACATAGGAGAAAGAGGAACCTACATATGAAATTTGAGAAAGACCCATCAAACATTATTCAACAAATAGCGATAAAAACTTTCTTTGTTGCAATCCGAGATGGCCTTCTGTCTGTCATTTTGTTTTTCTGATCAGTCCTAAAATCATATGAACACAACCAGGGACCAAAGGGAACCTGCATATGAAATTTAAGGAGGATCTATCCTGTACTTCTCAAGAAATAGAAATAACCATCTTTATCAGGGAAAAGCCAAGATGATCACCTGTTGGCTACTTGTCTTTCAGATCAATCTTAAAATCAAACTGGCACAACAAGGGAATCTACATATGAAATTTGAGATAGAGACGTCCAAGAAATAGTGATATGAGGTCAGATTTCTAAGAAATAGAGAAAAATCAGCTCTTAAACAAGTATCCTATACATTTATGATGCAACAAAATTAGGCTTTAAGGGGAAAATATTCATAAAATGCAAGACTTTTCAATGAAGTTTCCAACATCACTGCCACAAAGCTATCAGAATGAAAATTCTAAGATGTGCCAGCAAATCAACTGACAGCCAGGTTCAAAGATTACCTGTCTACATTTTTCTGTTGTGATATCCTCTACCAGCGTCTTGCAGTTTCTGATTGGACGTATTGGCACCAAGTCAACACCTGCAATATAAGCACTGTTTATTGCTCCAAAGCAGTAACATTTCACATATACATTTGATCAAATCAGGGTAAAATACCGTAGCTTGAAAACCTTTCTACTTTGTCTGAGCAAACTGATTTCTTGGAGGGTCAAAATATGGTTCAAACTAGAGTAAAGTTTCAAATTGCCTGTGAAGTTTTAAGTATAAAACTTAATACTTCTCATTAAATATCTATTTCAAACCTTTTCCATAATTTAACCATGTACATCCACCTGTGTTTTATTTACAAGATATTTTACAAGTGTTTTGTCAATTATAAATCCCCTAATTACATACAAATTGTATCTAATTGTAAATGACACAAATATTTTCCGTTAAATTTCTTTGGTCAAATTTATGTTGCCAATTGTGCCTTTTTCTTCTTCCATGACCATCAGTCAAAAATCACATATCTGATGGTATACATACCAACAATGAGACTGGAGACTGGTGTGTTTTCTGCCACCACCTGTAGCCAGCCTCCAGGGGCTGCACACAAGTCAAGGACAACTCTTGACTTTTGAAGAAACTCATACTTCCTGTTCAACTGGATTAATTTGAATGCAGATCTAGCTCGATAACCTTAAAATAGAAAACAGTTTTGGGTGATATTAAAACAATCAAAATATATAATCATAAGTCATTCAAATTATCCTTTCACAGAATATTGTCAAAAAAACATATTTGATGGTATTGAATTTCTGCAAGTGAGTAAATTCAAGTTACAACACAAATAAAGATATTAATATATCAAATCAACTTTCTTACTCTACAAATGAAAATACTTAAACAGAATACCTTTAGATTTGAAGTGATAGTTATTACTACAATAGGAAGAATTCAACATATAAAAAATTAAGTGTGTTTTTACTATAAATGAGCTATTTTAGTGGCATAAATGTGACAAAAGAGGTCATTATACTTAAATGTCTTTGTTAGGGATCAAACCTGGAACCTCATACTGCTAGTTTTATATTCAAAGATGAGCTATAGCCAAAGAAAAGCCTCCCTCAAAAATAAGCTAGTACCCACAAGATTCACATAATCACTAATATCATAACTCATTTATTTAGTGTCTATATAATTCTAGTAGTTACTAGGATCAACATTTTAGTATATAAGGCTGGGAGTCAAGGACAACAGGCCAAAGTGATATATTGTAAAGTCCTACCCAAAATGTCATCTGAATGATTTGACCCCTCGTACAAAACAGAACTGGTTACAGTTACTGATACCATGGACCCAGAAAACGCCAAGCAAGCAGTGAAATATACAGTGAAAAAGTCTGGCACCTGCCTGTTTAATGATTGTATGCAAAGATATTAAACCCTACCTTAAATGGAAAGTTCAATCGTATATACCGCGAGACCTCTGACAATTGACTTTATTGTTTGTTTTCATCAAATTGTTTAAACAAAAGCAGAATATTTTTATTGTCATTCTCAGGTCATATATAGTCTTATAAATGTGATATTTGTATAAAACAAGAACCGTGTGAATACAACAGCATGTTAATATTCAGTATAAACAAATATTACATGTTTCTTTGGACAATCGTTTTTGACCACATACATGATTTTGTTTGACTGACCAGTCCATAAACTCCCATATCGCCCTAAGTACCATTCATATATTTGTTAACTAGTTATCCAATAAAACGCCCGAATTCTGAACTACAGTAGAACATTCCAAAATCAAGTACCAGGTTGACATTTTAGCACCCGTTGACAGGTTTTCAGCCCAAAGGGAATGCGGGTTTGTTACAAACTGTGATGAATTAAATATCTGTTGTGTTGACAACCGCAGAACATTGCGCTTTGAATTTGTGAATTAACCAGTTAGACCCCTGCCTCCAATGTGGAACCCCCCCACTGACATGCCGAGCTTATGATGTTCATCAAAATATATGATTTTAAGAGGCATTCCTTCGTTGATTTAAAACGTAAATACCTGTTTCCTTAGCTAAATGGTAGAACTTGTCCTTCCTCGACTTTCCTGTCTTTGACTTCTTCCCCATTTTGGACGAATGTCTTGAAGACAAGAAATTATTTAGATATCAACATGCCCATGTGGTTCCCAAAATGCGTATGTGTAAAACGTCACTTCCTTTTCCACCGTAGTTTATAAATACAGAAACAACACTTTTCCGGAAATGTTGGTTTTCATTAAAGCTTCCTCGGCGTTTTAACTGGAGTGTCCAAAGTTAAACGGTGTTCATCGCTTGGCTGGCACGTTCTTGGTTTTCATAAGAGTCTTAATTCGTAGAAAAATTATAAAAAATCTTCTTCTTCCAGACTTTTCTTAGCAATGAAGATTAGCTAAAAGTACGTGCAGAAAAATATGTGTATGTTTTTGTATTATTTAATAAACAATGTAAAACTATGTGCAGAGGAGGAATTTAGTGTAGGAGGGGTTTGAGAACAGCTTGGACCGATTGATCTTTGAAGAACTATCTATAGTCTGCCTTTGAAGGCGTTATTTTTTTCAGGCAAATTGTTCAAAGTGAGGTTCGACTGAAATGTCACTACGGTGTACTCGAGATTAGAAAGACTCCAACACATGGTAAAGTGATGTTATATTTGATAGGACATCTCTCGCGAGTGACAGTGAGGTACATTTATTAGAGTAGAATGCCATCAGTCAAGCTGCTTCCCATCTGGCATTAGCGTCAAGATCAAGTTGACGTTTATCACAATCTGCATTACTTGAGACCGCGAGCTAGATAATGCTAAAAATAAGATTAATAAATACCCCGGCTTCATTAACCTGTGTGATATTGGAGATGATTTTAGATCGCCATGGTGACCGATAGCGATATTTCTTCGTCAGGCGACGTGCGTTAACTTTTTCCTATGAGCACAATAACTTGATTAAATACGCGCGGATTTTTACGAACCTTGTCATGCAGCCTTATATCAATATATTGGACGACGGGACCGATTAGATTGTTATCTGTAGAGTTATAACCCTTAGTAAATATGTACGGATTTTGATGAAAACTATGTATGCAGTCTTGTATCATTAATTTTTCTGCATGAATTTAATAACTAGTTGTCGTTCTTGACTTTCACGTGTATCTCCAATGAATACGATTGAGGCTAAAAGGTGTACTGTAGAGTTATGTATCCATGTTAAATCATGGGATATACAGAAAAAATATTCCACGGTTAAATTCAGGGTCAAAACAGAAGCACTTAATTTTTTTTTCATTTATCAATACCAGAGACGTATATAACGTTATATACGTCTCTGTCAATACCACACACACAAATTTTGGTATTTCATATCGAGATCATAATACCTTACAAAGGAAGTTAAATAAAAGCATGTTTTTTATGTTTTCTATGAGTCAGTATGCAGATATGCGGACAATAAATAAAAATCTTGAATTTGAATCAGACCTTCTTCACGATTACAATTGCTACCTTTGTGAATAATTTATCTTAAATCCCTGCGTCAATCAATATCGTTTCCAGCTTGATTAATATTGTTTGAATATACACATTCACTTGACGCTGTTATAAATGATATATGAAAAGTATGAAGCTTATCTAATTATAGGACTAGAGCACCTCCCTGTCTAGATTTTGATTTCGATCACTATGGATTTTCCTCAGTCGCCTTCTCGGCTTCAAAATTTAGGCCCTTAAAAAATCTTTGACATAGACCGCTTTTTTTATGAAAAATGGTTTAATGCAGGAGTAAGGGTAGTAAATGATTTACCAAAAGATTCTAGAATTTTTTTAATTTATGATTTTAATGAATTTTGTAATGTATATGGTCTAGTAACTAATTATTTACAGTACTATGGAGTAATCCAAAGTATAAAGAAATACTTAAGGCCTGTTCTTCCTCTAAGTGGATTGTTGATGTATCCCTCTATCCCTTTGAGTCTTGAATCGATTTTAAAGAGAAAAAAAGGATCACAAGACTTTCATCGACTTCTCATTAAAACTGATGTAAACATTACAGGTCAACATAAGTGGGGAAATATTTTTGATTTCAGTAAAGAGAAATGAAAAAAAAATACACAGTATTCCGTTTAGATCAACTCAAAACACTAGACTCCGTTGGTTACAATTCAGGATTAATCACTTTATATTAACAACCAACTTATATGCATACAAAATTGGTATTTCAAATAACCCTAACTGTAATTTTTGTAATAGAGATAGGGAGACAATTGTTCACATGTTATGGGAATGTAGTGAAGTTCAAAATTTTTTTGTCAGTTTTGAATCACTATTAGACGTTCTTACAATAGTGTTTCCTATAAATAAAGAATCTATCTTATTCGGTCTGGTAAATGATACCGGCATCTACAATCGAGTAGATAATGAAGTACTTCTTATTATCAAATCTTATATCTATAGAACCAGAACTGTACATAGGACATTATCGGTAATGGCTTTATTTAATGTTATAAAAGAAAACTATACTGTCCAAAAGTCCATTTCAACTGGTAAAGGTAATTCTTCCTTACAAATCTTTTCAAATGAATGGAGTAAATGGAAAAAACTAACAGATATTGCTTAAAACTCGGCAGTTTTCAGGCTGATGACTTCTTCATCTATCCCATTTTTTATATACATAAACTCAATACTGTTCCTTCCATATCATGCGTGTTCTAATTTCTCCTTTGTCGTTCTTCTCAATGCCTTCCTCTTGTCTTCTGCTCTTACACTTGTTACTACTAACGCATACTTCTCTTCTATTTTCTTTTTCTTTTTTTTTCTTTCTTGTATGCTTTGCAACACAGTTGTTTTGTTGTAGAAGTATTTGATTATTTCCATGGGTTGCGGAAGCCCTCCTCTTAGATAAATATCTCAGAATATATGATAATTACTTATTTTTTTCTCTCTTACTCTATTCTATTCTTTCACTTTCTTCTTCCTAAAAAAAAAAAAAAAAAACCCACAATGTACTGTAACACTTCTATACCTCCTCACAACAACATTTCTCTATGATAATATTATAAATGTAAGTATGCCGATATAGCTAATATGATTAACCACTTTAGAAGTGGTTTGCTGATTTTGATATTTATACACCTGTAATATATAGTTGTATACCTACACTGTATTTGATTTACAGGTGTGGTTGTAGGTACATGTACGTAAGCTTGTATGTGCGAGTATGTACATGATGCATATATATATTTATTATATTTGCTGTTAGGTGTACGGTGCACGTATGCTTTATGTGTACATATTATGTGTTTATATGCAAGTATTCTCTTGATGTACATCTGTATGTGTGTGGTCAAGTATACATGCAATCATGGAGGTGAAAATGTTTGTGTTGAGGAGTGTTTCTCACATGTATAACTGTATCAGTTCATTTCATTGAATAAAAAAAAATAATTATAAAAAAAAAAAATTAGGCCCTTGACATCACTGACGAGCCAGCTCTACAAGAACGAAACAACTGTATGTTGCAGTTTCATTAATTGTTTGACTCTACTGAATCTGATTGCAAATTTGTGTTAAACGACCATATTGTGTGTCTTTGAAGATATTATGGATACGTGCATGTAAAAATGTATCGGGCGTGAATTAGTACTACGTCTATTTTCAGAGTGAACTTCCGGTTCACGGAAACAAGCACCGGCCTTAGAGCATTTACCAACGTGCTGCCATCATGGACAGAGATGGTAATATAGATTTTAAAAATAGACAAAACATAACAGTATACAGTACAACGATTTTGTGGTCAGACATTAGATGTTGTTTGTAGGCAACTTGTGTTATCTTTAATTAACTCTAGTTTACAGCTGCTCAACGAATTGTCTCTTGCGGTGATATTTAAAAAAAATTAAACGAACCCGAATGATAATGATAATAATATGAATATATATATATAAGGTCATAGAAGTGTACGTTGATTTTTGCGGAGCTTACCTGTGTGTAGATTTGAGGGCTTGGTGCAAATTATTATGGTGGTCAGCTGAAACTGTAAACGAATAATATGTCAGATGAGTTAGATATTGCATCAGAAGTTGTAATTGTTCCATATCGTTTTGTGTTTTTTTTTATTCATAGCCGGTCAACATTAGCATTTAGGCGAATTGTTCTTTACATTTCGTAAATAAGTAAAATAAGTTCTGTTTTTTATTGAGGTGGGGAGGGGGGCAATAAAAAACTGTTTTAAGGGGAAGAATATCTTTATTTAATGACCATGTCTTTCCTTTGCTCCTTAGAAATACATACATCATGGTGTTTGGTCATGAGGAAATGATTTTCTTTTTCAACAGGTATACTGTCCTACTTCAGTAATCTGGTCCATGCAGACCCTGACATGTCTGCTGCAGTGGCTGCAATTAAGACGCTATTGCACTTCCTGGAGGTCAACAAAAGTAAGAGAACTTTAATATTCCTTACTTAACAGATTTTTTCTAAAACATTTCGCTGACTTAATGGTTATTTAAGAGTCAATGAACTGAAAAAGTGTAATAGCAATTCAGTAAATCATTTTCCTCCTTACTCTGAAAATATTTTTTCATGTTGAAAAGAATGATAAGAAATGCTAAACTTTTAGAACAAATTAGAAAAAAGAAAGCACTTCTTTCAAAAGCTGTCAATTTTATTGTCACGCTAACTTCATAAGACGGTCCAAAATGAAAGTCAATTGACATCATATTACACCTTCATAAATTTATAAGATGCAGCCTTCAGTATGAACTTGTGAGATATTGCAACAAAACGTTGATATTGTGTATCTACACCCCATAAATGAAATTGAGGTTAAGATTGAAGTGTGAAAGGATCTGTCTGTACTTACAGTGGATACTCTGTCAGAGATGCGTGACCGAATGAAGGATGCAATATTGACACTGACTGAAACAGACAGTAGTACCACATCTATTTCTTCTGCTGGTGAACTGTTTCTACGCTTCATTACACTTGCCACACTTGAACATTCAGTAAGGATTATTTCAATGCTGGAATTTGGAAAGCAGTCTATTTCCTTTATGTAGAAAAAAAAAAGAAAACATATATTTCATAAAAATACTTGTGGTCACAGTGCCTAAGTAGTCCATTTCAAATTAGTACAGCTGAAAATTACTATTGCCTTCATAGTGAAATTCTGATACCTCGACTAAATGCGTTTTGGCTTTGATTCTGTTAATTCTGAAGTTCTGTTGTATAATATTACCTAGTACCCATTTTGTTTACCCTTTAGGTATGAAAAGTGATTAATAAAGTCAATATGATAATCAAAATAATATGGAGCTGATGATAAACCTTGGTATATAAACTTCTTTTTCCAGACAATTCAGGAGTGCCAGAGAATTCTAGTCAAAAGAGGGAACTTATTTTTGCAGAAAGTTTCAGATTCTCGTCAGAAGATAGCCAGACAGGCTCATCCCTTCATACGGGATGGTGCAGTAAGTTTTTAGGAATTAAAAAAAAATAAGAAGTAAAAATTACATACATTTACACACAAAAGTCAGAAAGTTGTCATCAGTATCTTTTAAAGTTGAACATTTTAAAAATTCTTTTTGCTTCAATTATAGATTTTTTATGATTGTCTATAAATACAGTGTAGCTCACATGCAAATTAGGAAATATTAATGTAAAACATTAGTGACAGAATTGTAATATATGAAGCTTTATTACACATGATTCTTGTTTTGCAGACAATTCTGACCCATTCAAAATCAAGAGTAGTATTACAAGTGTTGAAGGAAGCAGCTGAAGCAAAGAAACGCTTCAATGTGTACATCACAGAATCTCTACCAGATAATTCAGGGTAAGGAAAATTGTCATCAAGAAATTTGTTAAGGCCATATGCTCCCTAAAGTAAGAGTAATCCCCCCTTAGAATAACAAGGACAGTTTTGACATTAGACTGGTGTGATAAGAGTTATGAAAATAAAAATTACATAATGATCTCATATTGCTTTATAGCCTGTCTTGACCTTTATCAACATGTAATATGCTGATACATGACTAGGGCAGTTTTGATTAATAGCAGTTCAGCATATGCATTAAACCCTTGTATCCAGAAAGTAAATTTTAAAGGCCCCACTTCCATGTCAGATTGTAACACTTCAATTTGATAAATATATGTGTTGTTTTCATCTCATTTATGTGTTATTTTTGCTGTAAGATGATACTTTAAGGAGGCTTCAAATACATTATTTTTCCCCAACAGCCGTGAGGTCTCTAAGGAATTGATAGATATGGGGATTCCAACAACGGTAGTCCTAGATGCTGCTGTTGGGTAAGTTTACAGTGATGTTTCAAAATATTTTCAATATAATGGCTTAAATCGTTTTTGTGTTGTTAAGAATAATACTCCAGTTTAGTGGAGTTATGGTCAAACTCATTTACCTGTTTTTCGAGGCTTTGATAATAAATCAAAGTATTTTTGCATTGTGTTTTGTAAATCTTGTCTCTCTATAGCTAAAAGTAGAACCAAAACCTTGAGTGGCAAGTTAATTTTCTTTTTGACATCCACATCAAAGTTTTGAAGTTGCATTATCTCAGTTTCTCAGAAAGTATCAGTAGACAGGTGAGAAGTTACATATAGTTTGTTAACAGGCTTTACAACTCAATTCAGGTCAAAAATAGATACCAGGTATTTGGAAATTGGATAAAATGTACATGTATGTTATGTTTGGAAGTTCACACAATTATTCTATCACAAATAAAGGACTAGAATAAAAACAACTGAACCATGTATATTAAATATAAACTTTATTTTTGTTTTACAACAATTTTGAAATAAGTTATTAGCCAACTTACATAAATTATACTTGTTGGCCTGATGTAAGTGCACAAAGGTTTTATTGTGGGAAGAAAGAGCAGTACTTAGGGAAATCCCACATGGTCAGACAAGTCTTCACAAGTTTTTTTCACAAAATAAAATCTTAGGCATCTACATGAAAGGCAAGTGAATTAACACTGCACCACATGACCACCCATACAGATGAATGTAAATCAATGAGTGAAGAAAGTTTAAGAATGTTATTATGTTTTAGGATAACACATTTACTCTGTGATATGTTTTATTTTGATGACAGATATGTGATGGAGAAGGTGGACATGGTTTTAGTTGGAGCGGAGGGTGTAGTAGAGAGTGGAGGGATCATTAACAAGGTAAACGATGCACTAGATAGTAGGTTGAGTCTTGATAAGATTTTGTCCAAACTTACATATTATTTTACTCATTCATCAAAATTACCAATGTGTCTTGGAATGTTTCATACTGATTGGGAATGTTTGTCTCTCTGAATACAGATTGATGTCCCTGTGTTTATTAATGATAAGTGTTTTGATGAATTAAAATATGAACAAAGACTTAGGTTATAGAAATACAAACTAAAGGTGAAATAGGACCATCTTGTGCTAATTCCTTAAACTGATGATATAAAGTATCTGTTCATTTTAATTCATCTACCAATAAGTTTTCATAAAAGTATAATTATATTATCTTGATAGTGCAAACAATTGTATTACACAGAAATTTTACATGTTTGCAGTGGTAAGTCAGTGTGGAGTGAAAGGTGAATGCTATTTAAAGAAAATATATATCTGTTTCTTGAAAGACACAGGAAAAATATCATCAAGGGAGATAATTTTACTACAAAAGCAAGTAGAATATGTTGAGATTAAAGTGTTTAATTGGGACATCATGTGATTCAAATACACCATCCAAATATGGACTATTTCGTTATTTGAAATGTTTCCCTGATGAATTATCAATTTCTATTTGACTCAATAGCTATATATTTTGTTCTTATTTGACAATAAATGAAATTTTTATTACTAGGGTAAATAAAATGACATGAATATGTTTTATGATTAATTTCACATCTTATTTATCAGAAGTCATGGATTCAATTCTGAGGAAATTTTGATTATTTTTTATCATTCATTTCCAGATTGGTACATACACATTAGCAATTTCAGCTAAGGCTATGAATAAGCCAGTTTATGTTGTTGCTGAGAGTTTCAAATTCACCCGTCTTTTTCCACTTAACCAACAAGATGTACCTAATCAGTTTAAGGTTGGTTTTGTTGATTGTTTCCCATGATTGTAAAGCAATAAATGTATACTTAAATATATTACCCAGGTGTTGTATTTCGATATAGATTACATATATAAATGTATCATTGAGATAACTTTCTGTACAAAGTAAAAAATACAATGTTTTAACTAATTGAACATTGATTGTTTTTGGGAGAAACAGATCAGTTACATTTGGTGCAGTTATAAATTTATTAGCATTCTTAACATACTTGATTAGATGAAGAAAATATGACATCTGATTGTGTAGTTTCATAAATCACATTTGACTCGGATACAAATATATCCTTTTCGTAGAATAATGATTGAAAAAAACAATTTTAATCACATAATCTTGGTTCCATTTTGACAAGCTCTATCTTTGAGTTTAAAGTTATTAAATCTTAACTCCATGTTGCTTAGCCCTGCTATGATACCACATAATTCAATGTCTCTATCAGCATTAAACCATCTGATGTTTAAAATTCATTGATAAGTTGTTCTTGTGTATATTCCAGTATCATGCAAGCACACTACGTACGACGACGGACCTATCCAAGGAGCATCCCCTGGTAGACTATACTCCTCCGTCTTATATCACACTTCTCTTCACAGACCTCGGTGTACTCACACCCTCCGCCATCTCAGACGAGCTAATCAAACTCTATTGCTGACATCCATTAAAGCATCCAGGATGTTTGTTTGTCCAGGTTATTCAACAAGTGATAAACTCTATAAAGATTATGATTTTTGACCTTGGTACACTTATTAAGAGAAATAAAAAAAATGAAATACAAACACACTTAAGAATTTGCATATTTATTGTTGTCAATAATTGTATGACCAAAAGTAATAAAGTGACAAGTTTCATTGTTGATATTGGTTTCATTTGATTTTTTTCACAGTTAAACAAGAATCCTAAAACTTGGTGTATACATTGGTAATACTAAGAAGATGTGCATTTACCAAATTCAGGCCCACAACCTCTCACTGAGTTATTGCCCTTTGTTAGAATTTCATATCTGGAGCATAATTTGCTTACATTTAAACCATGATAATGAAACTTGACCTCTTTGACACCTGTGACCTTGAAAGTAAGTCAAGGTAATTAATTTTAACAAAACTGATAGCCCTTCATCCCAGTATGCTAATGGCCAAACTTAAGAACCCTGAGCCTTTTGGTTATTGAGAAGAAGTGGTTTGAATTGAAAGTTTATGCACAGTGGATTGCAGACGGTGGATGATGACGGATGAAACACAATGGCTGTAGGTCATCCTGACTCTTCAGGTCAGTTGACCTAACAAGAGGGCCATGGCCCTGAATGGTCATGGTGGTCTGACAAATCTTATGAATTAATTTGAACATTCCTTGAAAGTATCAGAAATCAGTGGTAGGTTCTGTGCATGAAAAACAGTTGCACAATCATGTTACAAAATAGTTTCTGTGATTACCATGTTCTTTCCTTTAAAAGAAATCCAAATCCAAATATTATTTTCATTGGTGTGAATGAAACATGAGAAGAAGTTCAGACTATTTGTTCTAGTTGAGTTATGTTTAATTTTTGACCAAAGTGTAAAACTAAGATTTAGTCAGGACAATCTCAGGATCACTTCATGCATGTTTGATATCATTGGCACTCCCTGATAATGTTTCAGGCCAAGTTTGATTGGAATCTACCTAGGCACTAAGAAGGAGTTGCATTTTGAAATGAAATATTGTCTAACCTCCCCTTTTGCAGTCCCTCAGGGTCAAATAGACTTTCTAAATTTAAGCAATGGTTCTTATCCCAAAATGATGTTATGTACCACACTTGAGGCCCACCCCCCAAAAAGTGCCTAGGGGTGGAATCAATTTTCTGAATTTAAGAATTATTTGCCAACCCCTTCTGATGTTATGGACAAAATTTGAATGAAATGCATTCAAGCATTAAGAAAAAGTACCATTTTAAAGCAAAATATTGACTTTACCATTTAGGTCCCTAGCTTTCAAATCAGCCTTCTGAATTTGAGAAATGATAAACCACCTACAATAATGTTTCACACAAAAGTTGGTTGAAATCTACCCAGGCATTACACAGGATTAGAGGTTTAAAGCAAAGTATTGTATAACTTCCCTTTTGGGACTCCATTCCCAGGTCCCTAGGGGTCAAATCAAACTTCTGAATTAAAGAAATGATCCCCCACTCTCAATGACAGAATTTGGTTTAAATCTGCCGAGGCACAAGGCAGAACTAGTGTTTTAAATGAAAAGTTTACCAACGCATACAGTGGCACACAACAGCAATAGGTCATATTGACCTTAAAAATGAAAGGGTGTGGGAGTGGGCTTTGATAGTTTATATTGTACACTGGCACATGATCATCATTTTTAATTGATCAAATTAGGTACAAGTAACTGAGTCATTATAAAACTATAAAATTCCATTTAATTGGAAAAACGACAAACACACAAGTAAATTATTTCATCAGTTTATTTTTAACAGCATACATGTACCTGATATGAAATTTGTAGCATGATATCCATTACATTTATTTGTAACTCAAATATGTCACATTATTACAATATAAACAAAAAGAATTACAACAATTATATCTTATTGTGAACACACTGCTGCTTTACACTGTGAAAATTTCTTAGCAATGCTGCTACAGCAAAACCTGCTCTGGAGGATTTTTTCTTTGTTTGCATGTATTTATTGGAGTGGTAAAAGCAAATGAATGTAGCAGTGATGCCAGCTTGTTGAAATCGTGAAAATAATACATCCACCTGATATTTCTTTACTTATGACCTTTATTTGAAAGTTCCAATTTCAGTTTTGGATTATATATAGTTAAGTAATGTTCATATATCCCGTTGCGATAACTAACATATTCAAAAGAGTAGATTAAAAGGTCCTTTCACTGGATGACCCTTTAAAACATCCTGTCACCCTTGAATTTGAAAGCCATGACCAGATAATATTTGACAAGTGTTTGGTGATGCTGATGTATACTGCAGCTGTACTTTGGTACTGATAAACATAAATAAAACAACTTAATAATTATCGTGTCATTCCAGATGACAGATATATCCTGATTTGTGTAAAACATGCAATTATGAAATTTACATTGTACCAAATATAAACATACTAATGTACATTAAAACGAAACAATTATAACACACTGCTTATCAAAACTAACTTGTATATTGAGATCTAGGTCATACCAAACTTTAGCCCTCTATAAAACATGATATTTGAAATATAATGAGTAATGAAGAGCAAATTACAATCTCACCTTTATTTATAGTAACATTGACCTAAATACTGATCTGACTTGTGACTACCGTGAACTGTATTTGAGGCACATACTTTTGCTGCCTGGTCATATTTCTGACTGAGAACATAAATGTTGAAAAGGTTTACAATCAAATGTATGATTACTATACATATTTATGGGGAAACATTTGCCTGGAGTTTTTTCTCTCCTATAATGGCTGTTTTTCCCTAAGACAACCAGGACATCAGTTATCTCCCATTCTGTTGGTAGTTTTTTTTTATTTTCTCATTAGAATCTTAGATCTGTATAATTATGGTATTTTTTTATTCTCACTTGACAGAAGTCACACATCACTGACTACAATAGATACATTGTAAGATTGACTTTAAATATTGGATCAAAACAAGATAACAGGATGTTTACACCATATTTAATATCAACAAAACTGTTCAGACAATTAACAATTGTTTCACATGCAGACTTCAGACATCCATTTCCATGTGGATAGAGAACAGGAGAGCTAGCCTCAATAGTTCACAAACCATCTGAATAACTTGTTCGTAGGCAGACTTCACATATCCATTGCCCTGTGAATGGTGAGTGCGAGAGCTTGTGTTGAAGGTTCAGAACAGATCTCAAGGGCTAGTTTACATACAGATTTCACACATTCATTGCCATGTGGATGGTGAGTGCAAGAGCTTGTGTTGATGGTTCAGGACAGATCTCAAGGGCTAGTTCACATACAGATTTCACACATCCATTGCCCTGTGAATGGTGAGCGCGAGAGCTTGTGTTGAAGGTTCAGGACAGATCTCAAGGGCTAGTTCACATACAGATTTCACACATCCATTGCCCTGTGAATGGTGAGCGCGAGAGCTTGTGTTGAAGGTTCAGGACAGATCTCAAGGGCTAGTTCACATACAGATTTCACACATCCATTGCCCTGTGAATGGTGAGCGCGAGAGCTTGTGTTGAAGGTTCAGGACAGATCTCAAGGGCTAGTTCACATACAGATTTCACACATCCATTGCCCTGTGAATGGTGAGCGCGAGAGCTTGTGTTGAAGGTTCAGGACAGATCTCAAGGGCTAGTTTACATAGATTTCACACATCCATTGCCCTGTGAATGGTGAGCGCGAGAGCTTGTGTTGAAGGTTCAGGACAGATCTCAAGGGCTAGTTCACATACAGATTTCACACATCCATTGCCCTGTGAATGGTGAGCGCGAGAGCTTGTGTTGAAGGTTCAGGACAGATCTCAAGGGCTAGTTTACATAGATTTCACACATCCATTGCCCTGTGAATGGTGAGCGTGAGAGCTTGTGTTGAAGGTTCAGGACAGATCTCAAGGGCTAGTTTACATACAGATTTCACACATCCATTGCCCTGTGAATGGTGAGCGCGAGAGCTTGTGTTGAAGGTTCAGGACAGATCTCAAGGGCTAGTTCACATACAGATTTCACACATCCATTGCCCTGTGAATGGTGAGCGCGAGAGCTTGTGTTGAAGGTTCAGGACAGATCTCAAGGGCTAGTTTACATACAGATTTCACACATCCATTGCCCTGTGAATGGTGAGTGCGAGAGCTTGTGTTGAAGGTTCAGGACAGATCTCAAGGGCTAGTTTACATACAGATTTCACACATCCATTTCCCTGTGAATGGTGAGCGCGAGAGCTTGTGTTGAAGGTTCAGGACAGATCTCAAGGGCTAGTTTACATACAGATTTCACACATCCATTGCCCTGTGAATGGTGAGCGCGAGAGCTTGTGTTGAAGGTTCAGGACAGATCTCAAGGGCTAGTTTACATACAGATTTCACACATCCATTGCCCTGTGAATGGTGAGCGCGAGAGCTTGTGTTGAAGGTTCAGGACAGATCTCAATTGCTTGTAGTACATTTGCCAAAGCCTCTTCATATTTACCAGATTTCAAAAGTGATCTAGAAAAAAAATTATCAGGTAATGATATTAAAGATATTTTTCAAAGTAATTTAAGATTGGCTTACAATCATATACTGTATATAAAATATTAGTGGGTAGATTCTCTAACTAACACACTCTTTCAACAGTAGAAAATCATGTGGACACCACATGACTATATGCATTATTCTCCCCTCTGAAGTGTTGTGTTGCAGCATACTGATGTGGTTTGTCTACAGTTACAGAGATAACAACAGATTTTATGTAGCAGGCATTTCATATTCAAAACAGCACTATAAAAGTGATCACTTTATCAATTATGGTACCTGATGATTTTAGCAACCAAGAGACAATGAAGTCCTTGGATTGTATAACTGTATATATCCTCCAATAATCACAGGATGCCCACATGTACCCACTGACACAAAGTAGGACAGTGGTATAGTATAAATGTAACAAATATATGAATTTACAAAATCCATTTCTGCTAAAAAGTCCTGTTAATTTTTAATTATTTATCATTTTGAACACAACAGAATTTGTGAACTGAGCTTTCCCCACAAAATCAATTAAAAAAAAAAAAAAAAAATGACTTTCCAATAGTGAGACTGCCTACATCAACTATGTACTCACCTGCCCGAGTTGATAAGCTCTTTATACATTGTCTTCATATCTTCTGGAAGTCTGTCAAACTCTGAAACATGATGTTGATGGTAAACTTAAATGTTCTGGTATTTTAAATAAACACTATGTTAACAAGTCATACAACATGTTCATCTAGTCTAAAAAAAAGTTTTTGAGCCTGAATAACTTGACGTAAATACTTGGCCTGACATTGACATCTGACTAACCTGACCTTGACATTTGACTAACCTGACCTTGACATTTGACTAACCTGACCTTGACATTTGACTAGTCTGACCTTGACATTTGACTAGTCTGACTTTGTCCTTTTAAGCATGACATTGACATATGACTTACATTGCCAAGGTTTTTCTTATCTGATTATGACACAATTAATAATGTGATTTTGTTTGATTTTATTTCTAAACTTTTGCCTCATTAAAGTAGATCATTTTTCCTTTCAACCCCTGGCATTTTACACGATCTAACCCATATTCACTTTGTCTAACCAAATCTTTAAACTTCCATGTAACCTGACTCAGATATTTTATCATTTTAGTCTAATTTAGCTTCTGATATCTGAAGTAATACAGCCCTCAACTTAATAAACACAGTCCCTAAAATTACATCTAATCTGACACCAGTACTTTGTTCTGATTTAACCTCTGACCTACAACATTATCTGAATCCATTATTTCAATCTAATTTAAGCTCTGGTCTTCTATCTAAACCCAATCCATTATTTCTGTCTAATTTAACCTCTGACCTACAACTAATTAAACCCTAAACATTTGTATGTCCTCTTTTGAGATAAAGCCCTGTATCCTATGATTTACCTGACTTCTGAGACTTTGTACTTCTGTCCTCCTCTTCTTCACTTGTCTCAACTTCCTCACTGTAGTCACTTTCATCTCCACTTTCCTCTTCTTCATCATTGATAAAACCACTTAAGTCGGAGTCCTCTGCTTCACTTTCATCAGTTTCTTCATCTTCATTCCATTTAACAGACTTTTTATGTTGTGTTTCTGTATTTTCATCATCAGAGCTTTCATCCCTTAAGACATCATGGATTTCCTTTGGTTCTCTACTTGAGGTATAATTTTCTTCAGATAAGCTATCATCTTCACGATCCTCAACATTTTCATCTTCATCTGAACTTTCAATCACTTTTTTTGTAGAATGTTTGTTTGAAGTCTCTCTAGCGTCAATATCACCTGAATCTTCCGAATATTTCTCATCAGTCCTTTCTTCATCAGAACTTTCTATCACAGCTTTTCGCACCTTTTTCTGTCTTGTCATCGTTGGTAAGGGACTTTCTGTAGAAATGTTGTGATCAGAGTCATCCTTGTCTGACTCCACCACTACTGCTGCCTGACCTAGATAGGAATTTTCTATAGAGTTTCTTAGATCTGGTGTGTCATCTATAGACAACTCCTGTTCATCCTCACTAGAATTCACCACAACTGCTGTGTGTAAGTTTGACTTTGTGGGTTTCTGATCCACCGGAGAATCTCCAACAAAAGTCATGTAAAGATCATTCTTCCCTCCCTTATCTAGACTTGATAATTTGGGTGATGTTCCTTGATCAGATGAACTTGAACTATAAGAATTATTCTGTACATCAGGACTCTCTGTGGAGAAAGCCGAGAAGATGGTGGTATTTAGTGATATTTGTTTACGTACTTTCGGGGTGTTTGGATCTGATGTGTTTCTAAATAATGAAGACAAGGGTTTTGGCTCCACCTTAACAATGGGGCGTGATGCATCTGGCGATATGAATATCTCCTCGTCGACAACTGGACTATATTTACTTGACTTTGGTGTCCGTGACAACCAGGGACTGTGTGATACGCTCTTTCTCTTGTTATTTTTTCCTTTGGGTGTTGTCATTGCCATAGTTACAGGGGTTTTCTTTTTTAAACTACTAGGGGTTGTGCTACCATGATTGTTGGGAGTTATTGTCTCTCTCATTCCATTTTTATCCAAAGATTTTTCACTAGGTGTTTGTGTTACAGAATCATCCATTAAACTGGAGTCGTTTTTCACAGGTGATTTACTTTGTATGTTATCATTTTCTTCTATTTCACAATTAGAGTTATCTCCCTTGTATATTGAGCTCTCTAAACTTTCTGACTTGATGCTGCTGCTTTGTTGTATGTGGGTGTTGTCTGATATGTCAACTTCCTGTTTAATATCTACTTCCTCCTTAACAGCTATATAACTGTCCTTGTTTCTATCTCCTGACCATTTCTCATTATCTGAATAATTTCCATTCTGAATGGCTGGATTCTCTTCATCATCCGAATCAATCTCCACCACTTCATGTTCCTCCTCTGGAGGCTCAGTAATCTAAACATATGACATGAAGTAAGTATTTGTTAAGTATGGGGTGTTATATGTTAAAAGAATAAATGTAAGGAATAACCCAAATAACATATACTGCTTGAAAAACGACTCCTATAATTTATGGCTACTCCCACCTACACCACCTACACCCCACCTGATCTGTGACAGGACTTTGTTTTGAACATCCCACCTGATCTGTGACAGGACTTTGTTTTGAACACCCCACCTGATCTGTGACAGGACTTTGTTTTGAACACCCCACCTGATCTGTGACAGGACTTTGTTTTGAACACCCCACCTGATCTGTGACAGGACTTTGTTTTGAACACCCCACCTGATCTGTGATAGGACTTTGTTTTGAACACCCCACCTGATCTGTGACAGGACTTTGTTTTGAAGTGACATATAATGTACAGGTAAATAAGTATTTAAGGACATTTGATAAAGACTTTTGCATTTGTGTATCTCAATTTGGTTTCAAAGGCTTACTTCTGGAGAAATATAGGTTTACTTCTGGAGAAATATAGGTTTACTTCTGGAGAAATATAGGTTTGGAATATGTAGAATATAGGTTTGGGATATGTAGAATATAGGTTTGGGATATGTAGAATATAGGTTTGGGATATGTACTGGAGAAATATAGGTTTTTCTTCTGGAGAAATATAGGTTTACTTCTGGAGAAATATAGGTTTGAATATGTAGAATATAGGTGTGGGATATGTAGAATATAGGTTTGGGATATGTAGAATATAGGTTTGGGATATGTAGAATATAAGTTTACGATATGTAGAATATAGGTTTGGGATATGTAGAATATAGGTTTGGGATATGTAGAATATAGGTTTGAGATATTTACTGGAGAAATATAGGTTTACTTCTGGAGAAATATATGTTTACTTCTGGAGAAATATAGGTTTGAATATGTAGAATATAGGTGTGGGATATGTAGAATATAGGTTTGGGATATGTAGAATATAGGTTTGGGATATGTAGAATATAAGTTTACGATATGTAGAATATAGGTTTGGGATATGTAGAATATAGGTTTGAGATATTTACTGGAGAAATATAGGTTTACTTCTGGAGAAATATATGTTTGGGATATGTAGAAATATAGGTTTGGGATATGTAGAAATATAGGTTTGGGATATGTACTGGAGAAATATAGATTTGGAATATATAGAATATAGGTTTGGGATATGTAGAATATAAGTTTACGATATGTAGAATATAGGTTTGGGATATGTACTGGAGAATTATAGGTTTGGGTATATGTATAATATAGGTTTGGAATATGTAGAATATAGGTTTGGGATATGTACTGGAGAAATATAGGTTTGGGATATGTAGAATGTAGGTTTGGGATATGTACTTGAGAAATATAGGTTTACTTCTGGAGAAATATAGGTTTAGAATATGTAGAAATATAGGTTTGGAATATGTACTGGAGAAATATAGGTTTGGGATATGTGGAATATAGGTTTGGGATATGTACTGGAGAAATATAGGTTTGGAATATGTAGAATATAGGTTTGGGATATGTACTGGAGAATTATAGGTTTGGGATATGTAGAATGTAGGTTTGGGCTATGTACTGGAGACATATAGGTTTACTTCTGGAGAAATATAGGTTTGGAATATGTAGAAATATAGGTTTGGGATATGTACTGGAGAAATATAGGTTTACTTCTGGAGAAATATAGGTTTGGAATATGTAGAAATAAAGGTTTGGAACATGTAGAAATATAGGTTTGGAATATGTACTGGAGAAATATAGGTTTGGGATATGTAGAATATAGGTTTGGGATATGTTACATAGGAATATAGGTTTGTGTTGTGTTATATAGGAATATAGGTTGAGGATAGGTTATATAGGAATATAGGTTTGGGATATGTTATATAGGAATATAGGTTTGGGATATGTTATATAGGTTTAGGATATGTTATATAGGAATATAGGTTTGGTATATGTTATATAGGAAAATAGGTTTGGGATATGTTATATAGTAATATAGGTTTGGGATATGTTATATAGGAATATAGGTTTAGGATATGTTATATAGGAATATAGGTTTGGTATATGTTATATAGTAATATAGGTTTGGGATATGTTATATAGGAATATAGGTTTAGGATATGTGGAATATAGGTTTAGTATATGTTATATAGGAATATAGGGTTGTTTACTGGAGGAATTCAGTTTCAGGGTATAAAAGAAAAGTTTTTTTTTCAAATGTTTATGTACTACCTGTATAGATAAGTCAGCTATCTTCTCTTCAATGTCCTTGACCTCAGGGTCATCAGCAGAAGTATCCAAGATGATAGGGTCATCACTATCACCACCACTACCACCTGACTGATCATGTGACTCAACTGTTGTCAACTCAACACTCTCAGGCTCCACTTTATCTAAAATATTTTGTAATGAAAATCTTAATCCAGATCAAAGCTTGTACTCCGAGATATTAATGACAGTTAACACTTATTAATAGTAAGGCAGGCCCTTAAACCTTACCATAAGAAATCTTGAAATCAGGCTTTAAATCAAAATCCAGTTTGTGTAACACTATTAAGAACTTTTGTCTTATCATGTACTTACACTTTCTCTCAGGTGCCTCCTCTTCTGGCAAGGGAAAGGCTGGTATTTCACTTGGTCCAAACTTAAACTCGGGCAGTTCTCTGCTTGTTGCAGGTCTTGGATATTTTGAGAAACGTTCCTCAAGAGTTGATCCCTCTCCAAGCTCTGACTCCATTTGCAACAGCTGTTGTGCTTTCTGAACCTACAAGGAAAGTGTCAATAAATCTCCTGAAGTTTTATAAAGCATATATGTGCTTATTTTAGAAACAGAGAATTGAAACCCTATTCTTCCTCCTTGACCTATGCAGTTGTCCCCCCTTATCTTGTAATGTATGTAGTTATCTTCCCTTGTCCTATATTGTATGTATGAGTCTGATATTTTCCTCTATCCTTGTGTTGTTGTCTGCCCCTTATCCTGTAACATGTTTTTGCCTGTTTACCCTATACATGTTATTGTACCCTCTTATCCTGTGCTGTATGTAGTTGTCTCCCCTTACAATATATTGTATGTGGTTGTGTTACCTTACTCTTGTGTTTCCCTTACCCTGTGTTGTACATAGTAGTCTATCATTATCCTGTGTTTTATGTAGTTCTCCTCTATTATCTCTCATTGTATATAGCTGACTCCCTTTACCCTGTGTTATATGTTGTCTTCTCTTACCCTTTACTTCCCTTACTGTGTTGAGTGTAGTTATCTCCCTTTACCTTGTGTTGTATATAGTTTCACTCTTTACTCTGTGTTGTATATAATTGCCTCCCCTTACTCTGTGCTGTATATAGTTATCTCCCTTTACCCTGTGTTGTAAATAGTTGCCTCCCTTTACCCTGTGTTGTATAGAGTTGCCTCCCTTTACCCTGTATTGTATATAGTTTTCCCCCTTTACCCTGTGTTGTATATAGTTATCTCCCTTCACCCTGTGTTGTATAGACTTGCCTCCTTTTACCCTGTATTGTATATAGTTGCCTCCCTTTACCCTGTATTGTATATAGTTGCCTTCCTTTACCCTGTGTTGTATAGAGTTGCCTTCCTTTACGCTGTGTTGTATATAGTTGTCCCCCTTTACCCTGTGTTGTTAATAGTTGTCTCCCCTTACTCTGTGCTGTATATAGTCATTCCCTCCCAGGTGAGCCTTTGACACTGGTTCCTCCTGGTCTTCCAGCTGGTCATCCATAGATTCACTCTCCTTATTAAACATCAGGTCATGGTCACTGAGTCCAAACAGATCTACAACCAAATTAAGAAGCATGAAGCAGTTCATATCATTGTGCATATGATATCCCAGCATGGAATTCAGCCTAAATTTTTATTTGGGTGATTAATGATTTCTGATAAACTGACTGTATTACCTCTCCTATGCCTATCTATTTTAGTGAAATGTTAATTGATCTCCATTTCTTAAGAAACAAATTTTATTGTTAAACATTCGAGAACAGTTGACCAACTTCATTAATCTGAGGTAAGATATAACTAAGACATTAAATTTCAGTCACAGGAAGCAATAACAATGATTGCAGATGTTAACAGGGTAAATTAATCCATTTTTCACTTGAAAACAACTCACCAAGAGAGTGAAGGAATGCAATGTGAGCATCTAGAGAGGTGTCAGAGATACGACTTCCACGGTGCATCTCCTGTAACTGGACCTGGGTCTTAGAGTGACGAGGATTGTCCAGGATAAACAGTTCCCTTAACTCCTGCTTTGTGAAGTATCTGAAATAAATCACAATTACATACTTACATTTCCTTACTCTACTTTTACACAATTTGATTTTACGGTTATTATCATACTACTGGAATTACATATCAAGTTTTTTAAATCTTCAAACAGGTGGTTGATTTTAAGGCCCAACTTCTGATTCAAATTGTTTTGGAACCTAATAATTTAACATTATGACCTAAACTTGTTGTTTACTTCTGAAAATTTCCCTCACAAAAGGCTGTTTCTTTCAAAAATAAGATAATTAAAACAGCAGCTCTGATAGATATATCCCCACTACAAGATCTTTTTATTTTTAACTAAATCTGTTCATGAAAGGTTGATGACACATCTTGTACAAAAGCTGGAAAAGTTCAAACTTTGACCCTGATGACCACTAAATTCTGATCAATTGTGATGGTATGAATATGAAATCAATCTGTCTATAGGACTGACCATGACTTTGTTACTGTATTTATGAATATTTTAGAGATATTTCATATTTTTTCATTTGTTTGATCGCATTTCAGTCTGGATCATTTTTAAATCAATCATTTATTGGCCTAATGACCTTTCCTACTTTTCAAGGCTGATCAGACTAAGTAATGATAATAGTATCCATAATGTATTCTTAAGTTACCTTTAGCCACCCTACATCATCTTGAACCATGCTATGCCACATTGTATTACCCTGTTCCGTCTGGTACCACTCTATGCTACCCCGTGTCACCCTATGCCATCTGACACCACTCTATGCTACCTGGTGTCACCCTATTTCATCTGGTACCACTCTATGATACCTGGTGTCACCCTATGCTGTCTGGTATAACTCTATGCTACCTGGTGTCACCCTATTCTGTCTGGTACCATTCTATGCTACCTGGTGTCACCCTATTCTGTCTGGTACCATTCTATGCTACCTGGTGTCACTCTATTCCATCTGGCACAATTCTATGCTACCTGGTGTCACCCTATGCCATTTGGTACCACTCTATGCTACCTGGTGGCACCCTATGCTATCTGGTACCACTCTATGCTCCCTGATGTCACCCTATTCCATCTGGTACCACTATATGCTACCTGGTGGCACCTTATGCCATCTGGTACCACTCTATGCTATCTGGTGTCACCCTATGCCATCTGGCACCACTCTATGCTACCTGGTGTCACTCTATGCCATCTGTCACCACTATATGCTACCTGGTGTCACTCTATGCCATCTGTCACCACTATATGCTACCTGGTGTCACCATATTTCATCTGGCACCACTCTATGCTACTTGTTGTCACCCAATTCCATCTGGTACCACTCTATGCTACCTGGTGTCACCCTTTGCTGTCTGGTACCACTCTATGCTACCTGGTGTCACCCTATTCCGTCTGGTACCACTCTATGCTACCTGGCGTCACTCTATTCCATCTGGCACAACTCTATGCTACCTGATGTCACCATATTTCATCTGGCACCACTCTATGCTACCTGATGTCACCATATTTCATCTGGCACCACTCTATGCTTCTTGTTGTCACCCAATTCCATCTGGTACCACTCTATGCTACCTGGTGTCACCCTATGCTGTCTGGTATAACTCTATGCTACCTGGTGTCACCCTATTCCGTCTGGTACCACTCTATGCTACCTGGTGTCGTTCTATTCCATCTGACACAACTCTATGCTACCTGGTGTCACCCTATGCCATCTGGTACCACTCTATGCTACCTGATGTCACCCTATTCCATCTGGTACCACTATATGCTACCTGGTGGCACCTTATGCCATCTGGTACCACTCTATGCTACCTGGTGTCACCCTATGCCATCTGGCACCACTCTATGCTACCTGGTGTCACCCTATGCCATCTGACACCACTCTGTGCTACTTTGTGCCTTCCTACACCATCATGCTCCATTTGCCAATCTACCCAACCATATATAGAGGACCACTAATGTCTTGATTCAACCCATCTCTAATGATTTATAGTAAGAATGCATGTTCAGATTCAACTGTGGAACAATATCGTTCCCACAATTTATAGACATGATGGTTGTCTTATTTCCTTATCATTTTGTATTTACATATTTCCAATGGTTCATAATATATCTTGTATACTGCCAGTGCTTTAGGTGTACACACTCATGGACAAGACTTATTGACATATAAGCTGGAGCATAACGTATTGTCCCTCTACTGCAAAGAGGTAAAAAGAGAGTCTTAACATACTGTAAGTGCTTCAGCCTGTGCTTATTCATTCTTATATACTAGAACACTAACAATCCACCCTACTATCATTATAAAGGATTTTGTATTGTCCAAGACAGACTCTTTCTCCTAATCCATGTGTTAGCTACAAACTACAAACAGATGGTATATTATCCTGGCTTGGCTTACACATGGTCAGCATGCCAGCCAGCCAATCACTGTAGGCCCTCATCACCTGGGCAGCTAATTAACATATCATTAATACATGTCACTAATTAGATAAACTATTGATAGCAATTAACTGCATGGTGAGTAGCTTTAATAAAGCATGTTGTCTTTGTTACCACAGCAAGTCTTGTGATTCTATGTTCACAGTAATAAAAGCCAATTGGTATTTTAAGACAAAAATAAAATTACTTATAAGCTGTTAAAAGTATTGAGATACATGCATTTGAACTTGTAAAATTCAGAACATACAAGTATTGTACTTCAGGGATTCACAGCACTTAGTTTTATCAGCCTTATCAATTCTTTAAGATTGAAATTATTTTCATTGCTTCATTCGGAACAGAGCTAGTGGCAACTTAGAAAAACAATACCATTCTTCCATGTTAAATTATCAAGGATATTACATCTGTATCTTGGTTCATAATCATCAATTTAGACCATATATTGATATCTAAAATTGTCTTTCAAATTTGAGATATATTTTCTAGCAAATGGAAATATATAACACTGTTGCTGTGCATGTCAGAAATTGTAACCTTAATAGCTTATAAACTACCTGTTCAAATATTCTAAAACGTTGAACATGCCTGGTTTTTTTCAAAGATTGTCAAAAAAAGATTGGAATACATAACACAATGATAGATAATAGTAACATGCATATATACAACTAGGTTTCCGCAACATAAATGAATATTAGAATACTTGTATGTTTGTTATGCTTCAGAAGTACAAGTGAATAAAATTATGAGTAATTGTATGTTTGGTCTTTTGCTTCATTGTTGGCGAGATGAATTTAAGCAAACTGATGTGTTTGCTGGGTTTATTGACCTATGAAAAGTCAGGGTTTCTTTGTACTAGCTGGTAGCATCCTCACTGAACAATTTATGGGAGGCCCATTACATGTCATTAAAGGACACAACCACAACAGCAGATTGGTTCATTTCTCAGCTTCCTGAGAGACATAAATCACTGCAAGTACAAGAGAAGAAACAACATACCCCAGAAGTTCATCTAGGGTTATATAGGCAAAACCCTAACATATAATCATCATAGATATGTGTAGTCATGTTTAAATATTATTGTGCATAAAATGCCAACATCGTCAATTCATTCATTCGAAAAATTTTATTGAATTTGATATTATCACTTCAATATATCACTCTTACTGACGTGGTACAATACCCGTTTTTCAATATTATTATAATTCTGAAAAAAAATTAAACAAGCCCATATTGATTTTGTAGTAGTTCCTCATAATATCTGGTTTTCATCCAAAATACTCACAAAAAAAAAAAAAAAAACACCAAAAAAAATCTTTGGTAAGTTCATATATAATTAAATGCAATGTATTATTTTTTTTTTGTAAGTTTTGATTGGATTACCACTTGCACTCAGTGAGAAACTGAAATAAACACAAAAATACATATTTTGTAAAGGATGCATGTGGCAATTATATGACCTAAATATTAACCAAGTTGGACTTTCATATCAACAGATCTTGATGTATAATCTAAAGTGAAAGGTATGCTGACAGAACAAGGACTACAGTAAACCACACATATTTCAAGAGATATTGATTTTTGTGTTAATATGTGAGGAAAGTAAATAAAAAAATTCAAATCCCGAGAGATTAATTTTTACAAAAGATAACATGAATGAATGATATCCATGGTTATTTTGTCATTGATATCAGAGTCTTGTAGTGTCCATGCCTCTAATGGCTTCAAATCTGTGAATTCGAAATAATTTCTAAATCAGCATTAGCAAAATCATTATCGGAAGATGTCTAAAGAGGTACAAGAGTTTGCAAAATAAATCATTGATGAAAAATTATTAGTGTTCTATATGTCAATATTACATTGGTATTGTTTTGTGCTGGTATATATATTTCTACTCTAAAAGGATAAGCTGTAAGGGAATAAAATACTTGAAATTAATGAGACAAATCCTCGCAATACCTGGTAGGTTAAGATACATGATCAGAAAACATGAAACAGAAACAACCAGGGTTGCAATATCTCAGGCATTCTTTATACATTCAGTTTGAGAAAGAAGGTGAAAATGTATGCTTAATTCTATATGGTTGCAACCATATCAGTTCACTCCGAGCGAATAAAAAACAGCTCAATATCTTTTATTTTCTGATAGAAATTACCTTGACTTCTCTTTAAAACATCCCAAAAATATTACAATAAATAAATACGATAATTTTTTAAATGAACTTTTACATCATGTTATGATGTATATAAGTAAGTCAGTTACAGTCTACACCTGGTTTGATTTCTTTATCTACACATTCATGGGGTTCATACATGTACAGGGGCAGGGCTAATTGTAATCTATTACATAACAAGGTATTTACAGGTAAGTTAATCTCTTTAACTTAAGACCAGATTATCTAACATTGGACAAGACATTTAATTGAAGCATTCTGATATTGTGTAACTTGACAAACACACCTCGGTACATGTATATTTCTGTTTTAGAAAACAAAATTATTCAAAATTGAATATTGCTACATACAAAATTCTGTTTAACAAATTATGAACTATATTCACTTTGTTTAGGAATACAAAATGTTTGTTA